CCCGTTATGTGCACCCCGCCTTTACAGGGGCGCCCAGCTCCTGCAGCCTGTGGCCTCCCCTGGGCCCCACCACACACGAGCACGTGTACACGCCGGGTCTGGCCCAGGCCACGCAGCTACAGTGCCCCAGGCTGGGCCCTGGGCCACACGGCCCACTGTGGGGGCAAAACCGGCCTCGGGGGCCTCCCCAGGCCCCACAGCCCTGCCGGGCCTGGCCGCCGGGGACAGCCCTGCTGGGCGGGGTCAGGCCATGCCCCTCCCTCCCCGTGGTGCCCCTCCCGACTCTGCAGGCCACGGCCTCTGCCCCCGGCTAGGGAAGGCGGCGGCTGACTCAGGCCTTCGTCAGCAGCGCAGGGAGAGGAATGTGACCATCCCTTTGCCAACACGAGGCGGGGGTGGGGGTGCCGCAGGGCCGGGCTCCGTGAGCTCCGTGGGGTCAGCAGGGGCCCCTGGCCCAACGCCCGGGGGCCTCTCCGGGGCAGGCCACGCACTCGAAGCCCACCGTCGGGAGGTGGGGCTGGAGCAACCCGGCTGTTGCAAGAGACACCGGAGGCAGTGACGTGGTGTCTCGGGGCAGAAGGACCTCTGAGGTTGCTCAAACTGCGCCCCAACACGCCCCCACAGACGCTGGGCTGCAGGCGGAGGTCGCCACTCGCCCCTGAGCCGGGCCCAGCGCTGGGGCAGGGCCGGCCTGGCGGGCGGGGTCCGGGGATGCCGGCGGACCCGGGGGGAGCCGGCCGGCGGGGTCTGGGCCCAGGAGCTGGCGCAGCAGGGCACCTCGCCGGCCCTGCCGCTGGCTTCGACCCTGGAGCCCACAACTGCAGTCTGTGTTCAGCACATAAGTTGATTGGATTTAAAACACGAAAAAGATCAGGAACGTTGGTGTGGCGGCCCCAGCAGGAAGCCGGGGCTGCTTGTGGCCCTGCCTCCGTGGCACCAGCCGTGGCTCTCAGGGGCCACGGCAGAGGGGGGCGGCGTCCTGAAGGGACCCTCCCCCCACCCCAGCCCGGCATGGCCTGCCGTGCGCCACCTCCATCCCCAGGCGCCCACGGGCCGGCTGCCCCCTCGACAAGCCACAGCTGCGCCCACGTTACCCAGAACTCGATTTAATCTCATGAATTCCAAGGTCGTAAGGAACTGAAGGGTGAAAGGGATGGTGGGGTGGTGCCGCCGGCGTGGCCACGAGGACCCCCTCGGGCAGCGGCCTTGGCCCTGAGGCCGTGCTGGGGCCTGAGGGCCGAGTGCCGGGCGGGGACAGTGTGGGGCTCTTCCTTGGGCGCCTGGCAGAGGCAGGATGGGCCCCGGAGGTCACGCACGACCCTCACCCCACGCCACCCCCACGGTCGCTCGCGCAGATGGCCCTCTGCCACCCTGGGCCCGGAAGTCACAGCGTGATCTGGGAGGCAGGTCACGCAGGCACGCGCCCTGCACTGGGCCGGCAGGGCTGAGATCAGGGGACAGAGGGACAGAGGGGAGAGCAGGGATCCTTCCAGGGCTGGCAGGGCAGGGCAGGGGGCCCCCGCCAGGCCAGAGGGGGCGGGGGGACCAGGCCGAGGGAAGGGATCTCCCTGCAGAGCCCAGAGCCTGCGCGGAGGCCTGGGGGAGACCCGGCCGGTGTGCGGTGCACGCAGAAGAACCACGTCTGGCTCTTTTTAACCCTTGAACCTCCCCCGGCCCCGCAGGAGAAAAGGGGCGCTGTGAGGTCAGTGGAAGAGCGGGCAGGGCCGCGGGGCAGGCAGGGGGCAGAGCCCTGGCCGCGGCCACTAGGGACCCCTTTTTCCACCTGGGGCCCCTCTTCCTCACGGGAGCCCTGAGGTGCCAGTGGATTTGTTCCCAGGGAGGCGGAGACGCTAACGCCCACCTCACGGCCTCGCCGGGCGGATGGAGCCCAGCCTGGGCCCGGGACCTGCGTGAGCAGGCGGCCTCACTAGGAGGCTGGGGCAGGCCCACGGGCCGCCTCTGCCAGCAGCGGCCCCCCCTCCGTTTGTAAACACCGCTGTGGCCGGCTCCGCTCCCAGAGCGAACCTCCCAAGGGTGCCCCGTGTCTGAGCTGCACAGTTATTCCAGAGGCGACGCAGCGTCTCCCCAGGAACCCCAGGGAGGGACCCTCCTCTCCTTCCTGCCGCTGCACCTCTGCCCTCTGCCCTCCCCTTCTCCCAGCAGGGGCGCGGGGAGCCCCCTCCCTGCCTGCAGCTTCAAGGCCAAGGGCAGGGTGAGCAGGGCCCGGGACGGCGGGTCTCAGACACCCCTCGCCCTCAAAGCCTTAAGGACCCCATGGGGGTTCCGCGCCCCCCGCCTCCGGTCCCGCATTCCTGGGACCCGGGCGGCAAGGCCCACTGGCTTCTCGCCTCTTGCGGGGCAGAGCCTTTTCTCGGAGCTCAAGGTGGGAGGCCTCCACGCACCCCCGCCCCGCCGGTGCAGACCCAGGAGGGAACCCGTCCTTCCCTGGGGCCTCCCTGGGCCACCGGAGCCACCAAGGGACGCTGGGCTGCGGGACGGCCCAGGTCCCCCTGCGGGTCTGCAGAGGCCCAGGCCACTGGCCTCGGCCCAGCCCGGCTGCTCTCCGCTCTGCGGGCTGTGTCGCCCGGCTTGGCCGTGAGGCCCCGCAGGGCGGCAGGACCGCAGGCGCGGCCACTCCGGGGGCTCCGGGGGGCGTCAGGCCACCGGCAGCCCCGCCAGCCGCAGCCTCTGCAGGCCGCTTCCGCGGCACACAGGCTGTGCTGCCCACAGGGAGGCGGCGGCCGGGCCCGCCGGAAGGCGCCTGCCCCCCGCGCTCCGGCTCTCCCGGCTGCGCCCCCCGCGCCCCTGCGCCCAGCGCCGTGCTGGGAGGACCCTTCTCCCTGAGAAACACCTGCCCGCCCGCCCACGGGCCCCCAGCCCAGGAGTGCGGCCCTGACCGCCCAGGGCCGGCACCCGGGCCTCTGAGGGTGAGTGAGCATCGGAGGCGGCTGGCCCGGCGACCGGCCAGCTCCTCCGGGCTCTGCACAGGTGCAACTCCTCCAAGGTTCCCCCGGGGAAGCTGGGCCTGGGGCCCTGCCCCCGAGCCCACCCGCCCGGACAGAAGCCGGCCCTGGGGCGCGGGCCTCCCTCCAGCCTCCTTCTCCCCATCCAGCCTGCCCCGGGGCAGGCTCTGGATTCTGCCTGCTCGCCAGGCCCCGGTGCGTGCGAGCCGGGGTCAGGGGCCGGGAGGCCCCACCCAGCTGGACTGTCCTCCCAGCCTCGGCCGGAAGGCCTGCACGACATGCCCCCACTTCCTCCCCTGCATTCTTTAGCCGACTGGATCAACAAGCACACCTACTGACCAGGGCCCGCAGCCAGGCGCCAGCTCAGGACAGAGATGAGTCAGCCTCCCACCCGCACTTCCTGGCGCCGTCAGAATAGGGATCCAGGGGTGCCTGGGGAGGCCTGAAACCCCGCGGGGCCCGGGGGGGGAAGGCGGCGCAACACAGGAAGGCTTCCCTGCCGAGGCCAGGCCCGCTGGGGGCTGGGGTTCAGCAGTGATGCAGGAGCCCGCGGGGCGGGGGGCAGGCGGGGGGCAGGCGGGGGCTGGCGGCCTTCCAGGCCGAGGCCGCCCTGAGCGAGGGCTCCATGCGCTCTGACAACCAGGAGCCTCATCCAGAAGCAGCAGCCCATTCACGCGTCCCGGAGCTGGAGGGCGTCCAGCCGGCGGCAGGCCCCTCCCTGGCCAGCAATCCTGGGCACGCCCGGCACTTGGGGCCGCCACGCAGCGCTGGCCAGTGGCCAGAAGTGGCCCAAGACTTCCGGGCCTGGGAGTAGGCAGTGCCAGGTGTGGTCCCCGTGCATCGCGGGGGCGCCCTGAGCACCAAGGGGGCATGAGGCTGGCCCCAGGGCAGGAACGGAGCAAGGCTGGGAAGCCCCCGGGACTGGGGCTGAAGTGACTGCACCCAGGGCCCTTCGCTGTGCCTGGGCCCCTCCCTCACGGGGGGCATCCGCGCCCACCTGCTTCTTCCCACGCTCCGCAGCCTCAGGCAGGTCTCAGGGGAGCCTAGCCTCAGCCCAACGGCCAGCGCATAGCGACACTTCGGCCGCCTTCGCTCACCTCGCCCCAGTTACAGCCTCCGGAGGCCCCGGTCGTTCTCTTACAGATGGGGAAACTGAGGCTCGGCAGTTCCTGCCCTGGCGGGTGCGGGGTCACACCCCCAGGGTGCTAGAGCCGGGTGTGCAGCGGGCCGGGGGCTCCCCAACAGGCTGGAACTGGACGGAGCCCTTCCTGTGCCCCCGTCTCGCGCGGTGCAGCCCGTCCCCGTGATGGCGGAAGGGACTTCAGCCAGGGCTTCCCAGCCTGCTCAGGGGAGGCCCCACACCGGGCGACGTGCGGGTCGTGGGCAGGGTGGAGGAGGCCAGGAAGAGAGGGGGACAGAGAGCAAGGCCACGGCACTCACGGTGCCGTCTGCCTGCAGCGCCCTGCAGAGTCCTCCTGCCCACAGACCTCGGCAACCCCACCATGGCAGGCAGGCAGGGCTGCTGCGAGGAGGCGGCGCGGGTCGGCCTGGCCGATGCGGATCCTCTCATCCTAGGGGCCTGAGGAAACCTCAGCGGTGGGCACGCGGGGTCCACTGGGCTGAGCAGGGGTCCCCCATCGGGACAGAGGGAGGCTCGCCGCCGCAGGGGGTGGGCCAGGAGAAGGTGTGACGACAAAGCGCAGCAGAGACCCGGAGAGGCGCACAACGAGGCCCGAGGCGGGCGCAGCGCCTCCAGGCGTGTCCCACCCCCGGAGGAGCCCCGCGCGCAGCTGCAAGGGGCGGACTTCGGCCCGAAGCCGTCGGGATATTTATACACGCGGGAGATCCCCTAAAAGAACCCTCACGCGCCGACTGAGGGGGCGGAGCCTTCTCGGCGACCCCTCCCCGGCCCCGCCCTGGCCCCGCCCCGGCCCACGCTCCCGTCGCACGTGGCCCCCAGCGGGTGGGGCGGGGCGGCGCCTTCGCTTCCTCCTGCGCCGCGCCCGCGGAGGAGCCCGCTCCGGAGTCTTTGGGACCCCGCAGTGGGCCGTCTGCCAGTCCGCAGCCCCGGGCCCGCTCCGACCGAGCCCCGGCCGCACCCCACAGCCCGCACCCCCGGCGGCCGCCCCCGCCCGGTGAGTAAGCGCCTCTGGGCCCTCCGAGGGCCGCGGGGAAACTGAGCTTGGGCGAGGGGAGACGCGTGGCGCGGGGGAGCGGGACAGGGCCCGCGATGCCTGCGCCCCGGGGGGCGGAAAGCAGCCGCGCGGCGCCAGGCGGCGGGACCCCGGCTACGGGGGCGCGGGGGCTCCGGGGCGCCCGCCCGGGGCTGCCACCCCGACGCGGACTCGTCGCCCGAATGAGCGCCGCCTGTGGGCGGTGAGGGGTCCAGCGAGGGTCGGCCGGGAGCCCGGCTGGCAATGCGATTTCCCCGCCTGGCGGCTGCCACATCCTCACCGTGAATCAACCCCAATTGGGGAATCAACGTCAACTTCGGGTCTGCCGCCTTCAGGCCCCGCGAGGCGCGCGGGCCTGGGGTCTCGCCTGAGCGGCTGGATGCGCCGGGGGCCCGGGCACCCTCTCGGACGCCTTAGGGGAGCCGGCCGGGCGCTGTTCTCAGCTCCTCCCGGGTGGGGCTGCTGGGCAGGGTGGCTGGCTAGCCCTCCCCAAGTCCCAGTCCTGGACTCCCTTCCTGAGCAGTGACGCCAGGGCGACCAGGTGGGCCTCCACCAGCCCGCAGCTGCTCCCGGGAGCACGGGCAGGGTGTCTGCCTGGCCCCTGAGGCTGTGCGACCCAAGGCCCTAAGCTCCGTGGTGACCAGCTCTCTTGTGACCAGAGCGTTGGCGCCCCCTCCCAACCCACCAGGGCTCAGAGTGGCCAAGACAGCGGTGGCCCTAGCCCACCAAGACCGGGGACACCCCCAGGGGTTGGGCTCCCCCACACCGGGGCTGGGACCGTTCCTTGCAGCCCGCCCCCGCCCCTCCCCCACGGTGGACCTGTCCAGGCACTTGCCAGGGCCTCAGTATCCTCACCTGCACTCTGAAGGGTGGGGACAGGGGCTCAGGCGTGGACTCCTTCCCTGTCACCCTGCCGCGGAGGCAGCAGGGGCTCCGAGCCCACGCCCCCAGCGGCCCCGCGGAGCCAGGCAGGGCCCCGCCCTTTGGGCAGTGGGCACGGCACCCCCGCTGTGTTCAGGTGTAGTCTGAGGCCGCCTCCTGCCCCACCCCCACCAGGCCAGCAGTGGGTGCAGCAGGGCCCCCCCACCGGGACGCCCGCCGCGGACAGGACAGGGGCCGCGCGGGCGGGTGGACCGGGGGCCGAGGCGGCAAGGGACTGCCTTCTGCGACCCCCCCCCGGGCTGCCGCCCCCACTCCCTCCGAGCAGACCGGCCCCCCTTGCCGGAGGCGCTGACAGGCTGTGGGAGCCACGGCCGCCACCTCGCGCGCCGGGACCTGGGAGCTCCTGCCGGAAACAGACGGCCCTCCCCGTCGTCAGGGGCGCTCGTGACCAGGTCGGAAGAATTAGGGGTGCGGGAAGGCCGCGGGGGGCAGGGGCCGCCGAGGGTGAGGGCGCAGTGCAGCCTCCGCGGGACAGGGGCCCGGGTCAGGGTGGGGACTGGGGACGTTCTCGGAGGCGAACGCAAGCCCCTGGCTTCGGGTGGTGCAGGAGGAGGATCGGGGAGACAGCCCCCCAGTCTGAGGGGGGAGGCCGACTCTGCAGCCGGGCCCTGCCCGCCCCGCGCTCCCGCACGTGGCAGGTGTCGGACAGGTGCCGGCGTCGCACCCGGGATGCAGCAGGTTGGGGGGCGCGTCCGCCTGTTTCAGGACAGGGGTGGAGAGCGTCTGGGGGCACAGGCCGGGGCCAGGAGGTGCGGCCAGGCACCTGGGGACCCCGGGTGTCCGAGGCGAACGGGCCGGTTTCGGCCGCTGGGAGAGAGCGGGTGCCTGAGATGGCGAGCCCCCCCGCTACCGGGGGAGCGAGAGCAGCTGGCCGGCCCCGCCAGCCGAGCGCCGGAGAGACCGCAGAGCCGCTGCCCCGGCCGGGCGGGGGCCCACCTTCCGCCAGCGCTTCCCCGGCTGTGATGGCTCCGGGGCTGCCCGGGCCCCTCTGCCGGGTGCACACCCTCCCCACAGGGCCCGTCTCCCACCTGGCTCCGTGGGCAGGGTCCCCGCTGAACGAGGGAGGGAGCGGAGGAGCGAGCGGGTCAGCCGGCCCCGCCTGCCCCCGCGGCCCCCCTCGGGGTTCCCTGGCCAGGCTCAGGGTCGATCGTCACCGGGTTTCACAGACGGGCAGTCGAAGGCCTGGGCGGCTGGATGGTTACACAGCCCCGACTGTGTGCACCGGGCCGGGGGGTGGCATGCGCCACACGGGGCGCCCAGGGGCACTCCCCAGGGCCAGGGTGAGAGCGGGCGTCCCGGCCCCTCGCCACCACGACAGCGCCCAGGGGCCCGCGCGGCAGGAGGGCTGGGGACAGTGGGCCGGGCGTGGGCCGAGCCCACGGGAGAGCAGAGCATGGCGGGCAGCGCCCCTGGAGGCCCGGCCGACCAAGGCCGTTGCCGGGAGGCCGCCTGGACAACCCGCCCGGGGAGGTGGGGGCGGACCCTGCTTCTGATTTTCCCGCTGCTGCCCCGAGGCCTCACATCGAAGCCTGGTGTGGGGGCTAACCTGGGGCCCGGAGGTCAGGCCCCGGAGGGCCAGGCGTCCAGCTCCAGCCACACACGGCCCTGGCGGTGGCACCCTCCCTGCATGGCCCCTGAGCCTGCCCTCGGCCGCGATGGGCAGAGCCCTGGCCCCTCGCTGTGCCCAGCCAGTGCCTCCCAAAACACAGAGGCCCGGAGCCTGGTCTCTGGGTGCACCCTGGCCAGGTGTGTGAGAGGACCTCTGTCTTCCCACCCGTGCTGGGTCCCCGATCCCCTGGGCTGTGTCCCCGTGTGCTGCCTGCCTCCCCCACCACCCACGTCCCTGCCCCAGCTCTGCTCCAGGCACAGCTCGGCACTGCCGCCCGCACACAGCGCAGGGAGGCAGGCAGCTGCTCCTGGCGGTGGCGGGGGGGCCCTCTCCCCACGTGCACGGCGCCCAAGGCCTGAGAAGGGAGCCCTGGGGGCGCCCTGCCAGGCTGCCGCTGCCCCCGCGGGGACGCGGGGCCCGGCCGCGGCGTCGGGGACCAAGGAGCGGCAGCTGCCGCAGGCGGTGGCCAGGCAGCGGGAGGACGGCCAGGACCAGGCCCCCGAGCGGCGGTGGGGAGAGCACGCGCCCATTCCACAGATGAGAACAGAGGGCCTGGACAGCGCCCAGCCCCGGGGGCCGGTGCGGTGCCGCCAGGAATGCTGAAGACCCGGTGCGTCTGGTTGGGCCGCGCTCCCGGCGCCCAGCCCAGCCCCGCAAGGACACAGCAGCGAGGCTGGGGGTGGGGGGTCCGCATTCACACGCTCATCCCCCTCTGAGGGCGGAGCCAGGGCCTGAGGAGCCTGGTCTCACCCAAAACCTGAGCTGTCCCCTGCCCGCGCCCTTGCCTAGACGTGTGCGCACACCAGCCTCCCTGCGGCGCGTCCCTTCTCCCTGGGCGCCGGGTGCTCCCTGGCTGGGACAGGCCCTTCCTGAGGGCCCAGGGAGCGGGGAGGGGGGGGGTGTGCACAGGCCCCCCTGGCAAGCGGCATTTCCGAGCAGCGTCGGGTGTTGAGCGAGGGAGCCCAGGTGGCTGGCCTCCTGCAGCCCGGCAGGTGGAAGGAGGCCCCGGGCGGGGTCCGCCGCCGCCCACGGCGGGGCCCCCGGGGCCCCGGCCCGCGCGCCTTGACCTCGGGTCTGCGCACGTGGCCCCCTCCCGTGTCCAGTGTCGGAACTGATTCGGCCTGGGGGTGGCGCAGGCGGCGGCCCCCGGGGGCTGGTCGTCGGCCCTGCTCTTTGCGCAGCCTAGGAGGCCGAGTCCCGTGGGCGCCCCGAGAAGCCAGGACAGCGGATCCCCGCCAGCGCTTGGCACAGGTGGAAATGAAAGCCAGGCTTCCTGGCGCGGGCGCCTCCACCCTTCCTGTCCCCCGAGCGGCGCTGGGCCCGCCGCTGGGGATGGGCCCCCCGGGCCGTGGCCCCCCATTTCCTCACACGCAGCGTCCAGCTTAGGGCTGCACTGGCAGGACCCCCGCACCAGGCAGCACTGCCCACCCCGTCCAGGCGGCGTTTCCTGTTTGCCTGAGGCCTCAGCCTGTCCCCTCCGTGCCTTCCACCGGCTTCGGGCCCCAGCCCAGGCGGGGGCGGCCACGGTGTGCCTGACAGTACTCTGACCTGCCCCGGCCTGGCCCCCTGACCGGTGCCGACCACCAGCTCTCGGCCCGCCGGCCCAGGCCCCGGCCCCTGTCCCCCCCGGGGCCCCTGCCATTGCTCTGCCCCGGCACCGTGGAGGCCCAGGGGCCGGCCCTGCCCTCGGCTCCCGGGGACGTGAGCTGGGGCGGCCACTCTGGGAGACGCCGTCAGCCCGCTTCGCTCCCTGTCTCTCTCTCTCTCTCCCTAATTATGGCACCGGCCGTATCGCCCTGGTGCCGCCTCTGTTAGTTTTTGGGCGTGTGTCCGGGACGACATGTCACGTCTTGTGTGACCAGGATCCCGCACAGCGTGGTGGCCCAGCTTGATGCCCTGCTTCTCAGCTGTTTTAGTTGGGCACTGTGCCCCGGGGGGAGCCCACGCAGGTGACCCACTCAGGCCGGGAGGCCCCTCGAGGGCTCGTGGCCCGGTGGGGAGAAGAGGCAGGTGCCGGAGGCTCAGAAGGAGCCGAGGTCGAGCGAGGGAGAGAATTGGGGTCACGGCAGCGCGGCCTTGGCCGAGGGGCTGGGGCTGCCCCGGGGGCGGGGGAGCTGCCAGGAGCACCATCCAAGGCTTGCCAGGCAGTGGAAAAATTTGGGTTCTTGGAGGAGCTAAAAATACAGCATGGCAGCCCCTGCCTCCCCTCCCGGAACCCCGCTCCTGCCACCTTCCCCGCCCACCCACCGGGGAAGACAGGCTCCCTCTCTGCACCCGGGAGGGAGCTGCTGGCTCGGGGCCCAGAAGCACCCGGTCCCGGAGCCAAAGCTGGGCGGGCCGCCCCGAAGCCACCTCCGCCCCAGGGAGCCGCCCCCCACAGGTGGGGGCCGCCTGCCCGGGCCCCCACCCCTGCGTCCCTGAGCCCCTCTGCCAGCACAGGCAGCAGCCCAGCCCCAAGGGTGCCGAGCCCTGGCCCCGAGTCTGGGCTCCCCGCCCCGCTCCTCTGCGCAAGGCCGGGTGGGCCTGCGGGCCTCCTGGCAGCAGCGCCCGAGACGCAGCTCCACGCCCGCGGCCAACCTGGGGCGTGGTCTCTCCATCTGCACGGCAGGGCCTGGGGTCTCTGCAGTCTGGGGGGGCCGGCTTTGACCCTGCCCCAGCCACGCACCCTCACGCAGCTTCCTGCGAGTCCGCGCAGCTGCCCGGGCCAGGGGCCAGCATCGCTGTGCCAGCCCGTCCAGGCTCGGGCAGGGAGGCAGGTGGGTGTCCGGGAGGCGGCCAGAAGCCTGTGGGCCGTCGACCCAGTCTCATTTGCAGGCACTCAGCGCACTCACTCGGACAGCCAGGCCAGGGGGCCCCGGCACCTCCAAGGGACACCCTTCCTCCAGGGGTCCCGGTCCGAAGAGGCAGGTGCAGCCCGTCCCCGGGGAAACCCCACGCCGCTGGGAGGAGGCGAGCGGCCCACCAGTGCCAGAACCTCTCCTGCTCGTTGGCAGAGGCCCTGCCCCTCGTTGCCTCCATGCTGGTGGGCAGTGCCCCGCCCAGCAGGTGGACTCGGTGCTGAAGCCTAACCCTGGGAGCTCAGCCCCACGAATGCAAATTCCTGGGCAGGCCCCGCCCCTCGGCTGGGGAGCAGAGGACAGAGGACGCAGGTCACAGGTCACAGGTCGCATGTTGCATTCGAGTGCGTGGGGCCCGCCTGCTGGGAGAGCCCCATCAGGGCAGGCTGCCCACACGCCGCCCTGGCGAGGCTGAGCCTGGGAAGGTCCCCGCGTCCACCCGGCCTGGCACCAGGCCTAGCTGGGAGCCGGCCACAGCCGCGGGCCGCGCCGGAGGGTGGAGGCCAGGCGGCCCAGACTGCGCTGCCGCGGCCGAGAGGGTCCTGGGCGCGCGCTCCAGCCTCCGGCCGTGACTCCGCAGAGGACGCCGTTGCCGCCTCTGAGGTGCACGCGATCCCTTCCTGGGGCGCACGGCCAGGAGGCCCAGGGCGCTGCCCTCACCCCCCCACCCCCCGCCAGGCGCCCGCCACTGCCGCCAGCAGCCCCCTCGCGAGGCCAGAGGCGGGACCTGCACACGGCGGAGGCTGCGGTTGGGGCTCTGCAGCCCGGAGCCGACCCCCAGCCCGGCCTGTGCCGGGGCCTGGGCCCCTCTGGAGAGCGAGGGGAGCTTTGCAATTTTATGACGTGTGTATATGTTGTCGCCGTGTACATATAACACCGTGTACATATAATGTGTACACACACATAACGTGCATGCAGTGTATACACACGTGATGTTACATATGTTCGTAGTTTAAGCTGCACAGAAAAGAGGCACCGTGAAAGGGGTGGGGAGGCTGGGTGGCCCCAGGAAGTGGGGTGTCCCGGGCTTGGGGCGCCTGTTTGGCTTTCCCTGGCGGGTCCTCGGCTGGAAGTGGGGACGAAGGGACGCCAGCAGTGACTGATCCGGCCGGTCGTTTCCCCCGGGGCCGCCCGGGTGGTTCCTGCGGAGGAAGGACCGGCTTCCTGGGCAGGCTGGGGCCAGAGTCCTATCTGTGCGCGTGGGCGGGCCTCCGTCCTTTCTGTTCCCAGTGTCATCCCGGAAACCAGCGGGAACCCTTCTAGGGAGGCCGGCTTGGCCCCAGGCCTGACTGCTGGGCCTCGGGGTGGCAGGAAAGCGGCCCCCGCTGAGCCTGCGGGACGACCCGTCCCCAGGGGACCAGGCCAGCGGGGCGCTGTGCACGCGGTGCCTGGCGGGGCCTGGCCAGCATGGGACCCTCGTGGACGGATGGCATTGCTCACCTCCACCCCACAGACCAAAGGGCCCCGTAAACAGGGTCTTTCTGGGAACTGAGCCGATGGCCCCGGGGACAGGGCACAGGGCAGGGCTGGCAGGGCAGGCTGTCCCTGAGGCGGGACTTTCCCGCATCCGGGGTCCCCCGGGGCTCTCGGCCCGGCAGGACGCTTGGGACACCGGAGGCCTGGCCTGGGAGCGTTCTCGCTCGGTCCACTCAGCCTGAGCCGGACAGACAGGGACTCCGGCCAACGGGGGCAGGGAGGGGAGGGGAGGCGCCAGGCCCCTCCCTCGGCAGCAACACCCGGGGGGGCCGCAGTGTGTGCGAGGCCGGTCGCTGGGCTCGTCCCGGTGCTGGGAGCGCGGGCTGCCCGGGAGAGACCGGCGGCGGCCGGGAGCTCGGCCGGTGGCGGCAATGAGCAGCCAGGAGAGCAGGAGGAGCGGCCAGGGGCCGGGCCTGGAGTGGGGGGGCAGGGGCAGCCGGAAGGTCTTGCGCATCTGGGTGAGTGGACGGTGCAGGGCCGAGCGGGCGGGCCCGGGGGGGCGGGTGAGCCCGGGGCCACGCGCGGAGGGCGCTCGGGGGTCTCCGCTGGCCGGGCCCAGTGCGGACCGAGGCTCCGGCCCCACGGGAGGGGTGGTGAGTGCCCGACTGCCGCCTCCCCCATGCTGCCTGCAGGGGGCACCCCCACACACTGCCTGTCGGGATGCCCCCAGCAGACTCACGTCAGAGGCCAGGTGAGGAAGCTGAGGCTCGGGCAGGGCAGCGATGTGTTGTGGGTTGCACACGCGGGTCAGCGGAGCCTCTTGTCCCTTCGCCAGGCTGCCTCCCAGGAGGACCCCAGGGGGCTCAGGAGGGCGGTTGGCCAGGCGGGGGGACGAGGGGCTGGCCACCTGGCGTGGACCCACAGCAGACAGGAGGGACGGCTGAAATGCCAGTGTCCTCAAGCTGTTCTCTGTGTCCCGCAGGCCCCGGGGGTGAGGGGCTGCAGGGTCACCGAGACCCTCCCTGAGGCAGGGCGCTGGGGCCTCCAGGAGGGGCCCGGCTCCTGGGCCCCCTCCCCGCCCCCACCTCTGCCTCCCGTGCGACCTCAGGTGGCCCCTGGAGTCTCCCCGTCCCCAGGGCCCAGTCTCACCAGCTCTGCCATTTCCAACTCTGGGCCGTGGGCACAGGACGAGGCGTCCCTGGGTGCTGCCTCCACTTCCTCTCCTGTAGAGCAGGGTGGGCGCAGCCTGCCCTGGGGGGGTGGGACACGGAGGGTCGGGTGGGCCGTGCCGAGGCCAGGCCCTGGGCGTGCGGCGAGGGGCGAGGGGCGTCACTGCTGTGCCTTGTCCCTCGGGTCCCCTCCCCGCAGCTCCACACCGCCCTTCTCAGATGCTAAATATAAGCGCTGGCCGTGCCAGGACAGCCTGAGCCACCCTTGACCCTCGGGGCCAGTCCCCAGGGGCTGTGGCTGGGGACAGCGTCACCGCGCAGAGCCCCAAAGAGAGGGGCTTTGGGGGTGTGGCGATGACACAGAGGCACGTGTTGGGGGTACGTCCTGAGGGGTCGCGCCTGCTGCAGCAGAACCGAGGTCGACCTCCACGCGCCGAGGGCCTGGGGGCACCCGGTTCTCCGCCTGCACCCAGGGGGTCCTCCGAGGCCACGGAAGCCGGGCCTGGCAGGGCCGCTTCCCCGCGGAGCCCTGGCCTTGCCCTGAATTGGGTGGGCGTTGGACTTGACGCTCGGGTCAGCCCCCGCCCCCACGCCGCACCCGTGCGCTGCGGGCAGCCTGGACGTGCCCGGGGTCCGGGATCACCCCACCCGCCCGCCGTGCCCTTGCGACCATCCTCTGGGCCGGGGGAGTGCCCTGCGGCTGAGGTGGGTGTGTCCCAGACACAGCGTTTCTGTTGCTTTGTCTCCCCCGGGTCAAGGGTGTTGCTCAAGTGTGGCTTCTGGGGTTGTGAGGCAGACAGCAGGCGTAGGGCGGTGCCGCTGCGTCCTCGGTCGCTATGGTGATGCAGCGAGGGATGGGCGCAGGGACCCAGCTCTGTGCTTCGGGGCGTCCTGGGAGGCGCTGTGAACCCATTCGGCAGGCGGGGATCCCGGGAGGGCCCTGCCCCAACTGTGCCCGGCTGACCCCGCCTCCCTCTGGCCCCGCAGCTCGGCAAGATGTCGGTGAAGGAGGGTGCGCAGCGCAAGTGGGTTGCGCTGAAAGAGAAGCTGGGGCCGCAGGACTCGGACCCCACAGAGGCCAACCTGGAGAACGCGGACCCCGAGCTCTGCATCCGGCTGCTGCAGATGCCCTCGGTGGTCAACTACTCCGGCCTGCGCAAGCGGCTGGAGAGCAGCGACGGCGGCTGGATGGTGCAGTTCCTGGAGCAGAGCGGCCTGGACCTGCTGCTCGAGGCGCTGGCCCGCCTGTCGGGCCGCGGCGTGGCCCGCATCGCCGACGCCCTGCTGCAGCTCACCTGCGTCAGCTGCGTGCGCGCTGTGATGAACTCGCAGCAGGGCATGGAGTACATCCTCAGCAACCAGGCCTACGTGCGCCAGCTCTCCCGGGGTGAGCGCACGCGGCGCCTGACGTGGGGGGCCATGGGCTGGCCGGCCCGAGCCACGTGGCTCAAGGCTCTTGGCCGCCGCAGGAGGTGGTGGGCGCTCCGGCTGCACAGGAGGCGGCAGCCCAGCCGGGCAGGCAGGGAGGGCTTCCTGGAGGAGGCACTGGTTTCCTATTTGCCCTGAGTCTGCGAACCCCCAGTCGCCTTGGAGTCCTGGTCCCTCCACCAGCCGTACCTCACTGTCGCCTCTGTCTGGTGACTTTGCCCCAGTCCGCCCAGCCCTTTGCTGGTCCAGGCTCCGCCTGCTCCTGGTCTCAGGCCTCCAGACCCTGCTGCCCCCTGCTCCTGCCACCTGGGGCTTCTCGAGCTGTGGCCACTCCGCGTTGCGTGCATGCGGAGCTCTTCTCGCCCTTCACGTTCTGCTCTCTGTCACCTCCTCAAGAAGGCCTCCCCAGGCAGCCCCAGGGTCTGCCCTCAGCCCTCGGGGAGACGCCTGAGGGCCCTGGGTGGGTGGAGGCCACGGGGGTCCCTTGCCCCGCAGGCCGGGGGGTGCTGCGCCCCAGCCGTGCCTGCGGCCCCCATGCTTGGGGCTCCTGGCGCGGCCAGTGAGCTGGCAGTCACCCCGTTGCCATCTGACCCAGTCCGGGCCTGACCGTAGAGTCCTCGTGACTCGCTCTCAGCAGGGCTGGTCCAGGGATCCCCCCGACACGTCCCCGGCTCGAGAGGGGGGGAGGCGGGCAGTGATTGGTGCTGCGTTGGGAGACGTCCCGGGCTCGGCCCAGGGGTTTGTGCTGGCGGGGCCTCTCGGACCTCAGGGTCAGCCCTGGTTGCGAGGTCAGCGCCTGTGGTCCGGGAGGCAGCTGCAACCCGGGAGCCCTGGTGTGAGCGTGGAGTTCTGGGCGGAGGCAGGCACAGGTGGGGAAGGGCTGAGCTGGAGGCCCGGCCCGGACTCCTGGGCCCGCTGAGCCGCCCCCCGGCCCCCGGCAGCTCTGGACACGTCCAATGTGATGGTCAAGAAGCAGGTGTTCGAGCTGCTGGCCGCCCTGTGCATCTACTCGCCTGAAGGCCACGCCTTGGCCCTGGACGCCCTCGACCATTACAAGGTGAGCAGCGCGGAGGGGGCGGGGCCGGGGCGGGGCCTCCGGGGCGCGCTGAGCCCTGCTGCCCCCGCAGACAGTGTGCGGCCAGCAGTACCGCTTCAGCCTCCTCATGACGGAGCTGGCCCACAGCGACAATGTGCCCTACGTCGTCACCCTGCTCAGCGTGGTCAACGCCATCATCCTGGGCCCCGAGGACCTGCGCGCCCGCACGCAGCTGCGCAGCGAGTTCGTCGGTCAGTCGGGCCTGCGCCGCGCCCCCGACCGCCCCCTGCGCCCCGAGGAAGCCCCTGCCCCAGCCCTGGAAGCCTCCCGCCCCCGCCCGCGTCCTTCCGTGGACGGGCTTTTGGGACCCGGACGTTAGTCCTGGAGGCGCTCGGTGCAAGGCAGGGTCCTGCCCCCCGACTCAGCACCTCCAGTTGTGACAGCAAGCGTTAGACGGGCACCATGGTCCATCCAGCGAGACGTGCCCCTCTGAGCGACGCGTCCCTGGTGTCCCGCGGGAAGGGCAGATCCTCTGTCTCCATGGGCTGGGTGTTGGGAGTGAGCCTGGGGAAGACGTCAGAAGGCGCCGGGACTGGAGGCCCCGCCGACTCCGTCTCCCCCCCCCCCCCAGGGCTGCAGCTGCTGGATGTCCTGACTCGGCTCCGGTGAGTCCCCACCCGCTGCTCCTGGGACCTGGCCGCCCGCCTTGGGTCCCAGCTGGAGGCCCGCCCCGCCCTCCTGGGAAGGCTGCTCTGCAGGACCCCCCACGGGGGCGGGGGCTCGGCCGCCGGCCCTCACATCGAGGCTGCCAGGCACGGCACAGGGCGCGGGTACCCCGGGTCGCAGGCCGACGACGTGGTGGGGGCGCAGGCGTGTCCCAAATATCGCACGGGACGCCCTCCCGCGAAAACGCTCACGTGGATCTGAACTTCAGCTGTAAGCGGGCATGTGGGAGCCCACAGAGCTGAGGGCCCCTCGAGGCCTCATCAGGACCACTCTCTGGGGCGTCGGCCTGGGGAGGAGGGTCCTCAGGAGGAAGAGGCGAGGCTGGTGCACCTGGTGCTGAACGGGCCTCCCACAAAAGTCTTTTGGGGGCTGAGAGGGCCCGCCCTGCAGCTGCGGGTGCGGCTCTTTGGCCAGGCTGAGATGACTGGCAGGTCCCAGACCAAATGACGCCCCGCCCCTCCAGGGTGACCCCCGTGCCCCTCGGGTGTGGGCTGGGTGCCCCTTCCCACCCCCCACCCTGTGAGCCTCTGCTCCCGAACCTCAGCTGCCCCTTGGCCACGGTGGCCTCGAGCCGGCCGCAGGCCCTGTGCAGGGGAGTCCGTGCGTCTGTCCAGGGTAGGGGGAGGCTGGTGGGAGCTGCGGCTCAGCCGCCCTGCCCTCCTGCCGCAGGGACCTGGAGGACGCAGACCTGCTGATCCAGCTGGAGGCCTTCGAGGAGGCGCGGGCGGAGGACGAGGAGGAGCTGCGGCAAGCCTGCGGCGTCGACATGAACAGCCACCAGGAGGTCTTCGCCTCCCTCTTCCACAAGGTGGGCCTGGTCTGGAGCCCGTGCCAGGAGCGGCCAGCGGTCAGGGCTGCGGAGGGGAGGCGCCAGGGCCGCCCGAGGGGCGGGGCCGTGCTGGGCCCGGCAGGCTGGCCAGCCTCGGGCGCACGGAGGGGACTTCAGAACCAGCGGGAGGCCGGGGGGCTGCGCTCCAGTCCAGCGCTGGGACTGCCGCCCTTCGCTGAAACCTGGGGCTCTCGGACCAGGGCGGGTGTCCCTGGGGCCTCCAGGAAGGCTTTTGGGTGTCGTATGCGGACGGGGTGCCGCGGAACACCCCGCAGCGCCCAGGGCGGCCCCCAGCCCAGCGAGCGGTCGGCCGCAGGGCCCCGGGGGCTGCGGGGGGCACCTCTGGCTGACAGGTTGGTGGCCGTCGGCGCCCCGGAGGGAGTGGCCGCTGACCGCGCCCCGCCCCGCCTAGGTCAGCCGCTCCCCGGTGTCCGCGCAGCTGCTGTCCATGCTGCAGGGCCTCCTGCACCTCGAGCCCGGCCTCCGCTCCAGCCAGCTGCTCTGGGAGGCCCTGGAGAGCCTGGTGCACCGGGCCGTGCTCCTGGCCAGTGGCGGTGAGGGCCCTGCACGCCCGGCGGCCGCCCTGGGGCCTCGACCGTGGGGGGATGGGGGTGCCTCTCTGCCCCTGCCTGCCCGCCCCCGTGGCCTCGGCCCTGATCCCCGCCGCCCCCCGCAGCCCAGGAGTGCACCCTGGAGGAGGTGGTCCAGCGGCTCCTGTCCATGAAGGGGCGGCCCCACCCAAGCGCCCCGGACAAGGCCCACAAAGGCGTCCAGGCCAACCTAGGCCAGAGTCAGGGTGGCGGTGCCCCCCAAAACACAGGCGCCCCGGAGGTGGGTGCGGAGGGCCAAGGGCCGGTGGCCACCCCCACCACCGCACCTGCCGTCAGTGACCGGAGTCCCAGCAGTGAGACCCCTCCACAGCCGACTGCCCTGGAGCAGCCAGCACCTGCCCTCCCTGGCTCCGCGGCTGCACCCCCGCCCCCCCCCCCACTGCCAGGCCCAGGGGCCTCGATGCCCCCGCCCCCACCCCCGCCCCCCCTGCCAGGCCCAGGGGCCTCCATCCCCCCGCCCCCGCCCCCTCCCCCCCTGCCAGGCCCAGGGGCCTCCGTCCCCCCGCCCCCGCCCCCTCCCCCCCTGCCAGGCCCAGGGGCCTCCGCCCCCCCGCCCCCGCCCCCCCTGCCAGGCCCGGGGGCCTCGATGCCCCCGCCCCCGCCCCCCCTGCCAGGCCCGGGGACCTCGTTCCCTGTGCTCCCTCCACCGCCCCCATTGCCTGGCCCTGGTGGGACTCTGCCCCCGGCTCCTCCGCCGCCCCCAGGCCCGGGGTGCTCACCCACATCCCTGCCAAGCTCCTCGAGCCCTCCTGCACTGGGTGGTGAGGAGATCATTGTGGCCCAAGTGGACCACGGCCTGGGCTCCGCCTGGGTCCCCAGCCACCGGCTGGTGGCCCCCCCCACGCTGCGCATGAAGAAGCTGAACTGGCAGAAACTGCCGTCCCATGTGGCCCAAGGTGAGGATCCCCATCCCCGCTCTGGGGGCCGGCCGGGCCCTGCAGGGGAGAGTGGCAGCTGCCACCCCAGCATGTGCCCTGTACTTGGCCCCCCGGGCCGGGCAGAGTCTGCCCCTGCCCTGGACTGCGCCCCTGTGGGGTCAGAGGCGAGGGACATACACGGGTCAAAGGTCCCCTGTGAGGACCCTTTCCTCCCATACACCCCAGAGGCCGGTGTGTGTCCGATGCCCAGACCTCTGCGTGCTCGCCACCCTGGGGGCCAGGCGGGCGGCAGCCTGGGGGGCGCGTGGCCGGGCTAGCATGCCTGACACGCCCGCCCCACAGAGCACAGCTCCATGTGGGCCTCGCTGAGCAGCCCGGAGGCCGAGGTGGTGGAGCCCGACTTCTCCAGCATCGAGCGGCTCTTCTCCTTCCCGGCGGCCAAGCCCAGGGAGCCGGCAGCGGCCCCAGCCCGCAAGGAGCCCAAGGAGGTGGGGCCTGGGCCTGGGCTCCGGGGCCGCCCCCCTCCCCCGTGCGGCCCTCCAGGGACCCGCTGACGGGCGGAGTGTTTTCCAGATCACGTTTCTGGACTCCAAGAAGAGCCTGAACCTCAACATCTTTCTGAAGCAGTTCAAGTGGTGAGTCTCACGGCCCAGCCTCCCCTGCTGTTCCTCTTGGGCTTGGAAGCGCCCTCTGCAGGCCTCCCTGGGAAGCGCACATCCCGTCTTGGGCCAGACCGTCCCTGGGGGGGCCGGGCGATGCCCCGCGCGCCCACTGCCAGGGAGGCAGACCCGGAGAGCAGCTGGGACGCCCCATGGCCACGGACGGGCGATCGCCGGGCCGGCGTGAGGCTGGCCCTGCTCCCCAGGCTCCCGGTCTCCCTGCAGGTGTCTCCCGCTGGGTGCTGCCGAGCCACCCGCCTGCGCCCTGGGCGGTCCCCCAGGGGAGGCCGAGGGTGCTCTGGCCTATGGGGTGCAAGCTCTTCAGCCCAGCCCCCCACCCCACCCCTGCCTGCCCTCACACCCCCTGCAGCTCCAACGAGGAGGTCACCGCGATGATCCGTGCGGGGGACACCAGCAGGTTCGACGTGGAGGTGCTCAAGCAGCTCCTCAAGCTCCTGCCCGAGAAGCACGAGGTTGGGACAGGAGCTGACAGCCGGGCTGGGGGCGGGGAGCGGCTCTCACTGGAGGTGGGGGTCCCACCGGCGGGCCTCCTTTCCGCAGATCGAAAACCTGCGTTCATTCACGGAGGACCGAGCCAAGCTGGCCAGCGCCGACCAGTTCTACCTGCTCCTGCTGGGTGTCCCCTGGTGAGCTCCCGGCGGCCGGGGGCGGGGCCCAGCACGGGGGGGCGGGGCCCAGCACGAGGGGCGGGGTGGTGAGGGCGGGGCCCAGCACGGCAGCGGGGCGGGGCATGCGGATTGGCCCAGCTCCATGCCCGCCCCACTCACACCCCCCCGCCCCGTGGGTCAGCAGCGTGGGAGGGGACGGTGGACAGGGCCCTGTCGCTTCCCTGAGAGACCCCAGCCCGGGACCCCGCCGTCCTGAGAGGGAGGATCCCCCCTGGAGCAGCGACTGGGTCTCCTGGGCAAAGCCAGTGGCGGGGCGGGGGCCCCTTCGCAGCCCCCACCCATCCTGCCGACGGTGCCTCTGGGGCCAGCCCGCGGGTGTGGTGTGGAGCAGGCCGGGCTCCGTGCCCACGCGCCCTGGGGCCTCGGCCGCCTCGCGGGCCGGCCCTGACAGCCTGCTCTGCCGCCCCAGCTACCAGCTGCGGGTCGAGTGCATGCTGCAGTGCGAGCACACGGCCGTCGTGCTGGACATGGCCCGGCCCAAGGCCCAGCTGGCACTGGCCGCCTGCGAGGGTGAGTGGGGCCCGGGGGGCCGCACGGGGGTGGGGGCGCCCGCCCGCCTCGGGACCGTCCCCGAGAACACCCGGGGCGCCGGCCTCCGTCGCCTCCCGGGCCCCCGCCGGCTCTGAGGCAGACACCGCACACACGTGTGTGCCAGTACATGCAGGTCCCCGCAGGTGCATGCTCAGGCGTGTGCATGCAGGTGCACGCACGCAGGCACACCAGAGGTGTGTACATGCATGTGCACTGCCCTCCCTGAGCGAGGAGCCGTGGCTGGAGCGTGGATGGTCTGGGCCGCCAAGGGGCCGCTCCTTGTGCCGGGGGGGACACAGCAGGGGACGTCCGCGCCCACCCTGCCACGGGCCGGGCGGCAGCCCCTCCTGAAGCCCCAGGGGACGGCGAGCTGGGGACCCACAGGGAAGCCATGGGCCGCCCGCCCGCCCGGCCCGCCTGCCCGCCCCGCCCTGAGCCAGCCCTCCCGCAGGCCTGCTCTCCAGCCGCCGGCTGCCGGTCTTCTGCCAGCTGATCCTGAGAATCGGGAACTTCCTCAACTACGTGAGTGGCTGCACCGCCCCCGCCACGCCCCCCCGCCCCCCAAAGCCAGGAGACTCACTCCCGTCCCTTGTCCCTCCCAGGGCAGCCACACAGGGAATGCTGACGGCTTCAAGATCGGCACGCTGCTGAAGCTCACGGAGACCAAGTCCCAGCAGAGCCGTGTGACCCTGCTGCACCACGTGCTGGAGGTGCGGCCGGCGGGCAGGGGCGCCTGGTGCCTCTGCCCTGTGTCCCCAGGCCCCGCGAGGGCCTGCCCACACCCAACTCCGCCCCGGCCCCCGCGGGAGCCCCCATGCAAGCCCCCGCCTCCCCTGCCCCTGCCTCCAGCTTCCGCCCAGGCCAAGGGGGCGGAGGGGGGTACCCAGCAGGCTCCCCGGGCACGTGCCGTTGCAGGAGGTGGAGAAGAGCCACCCAGATCTCCTGCAGCTGCCCCAGGACCTGGAGCAGCCCTCCCGGGCGGCAGGGTAGGTGCCTCCTGCCCCTGCAGCTGGCCCAGGGCCCCGCGGGCTTCTGGCCTCATCCGTGCGCGTGCGCAGGGTGATGGCCCCCGCGGTCCCCCGTCCAGCAAGGCAGGACCCCAGCTGTCGCTGACCGCGCCCGGCCTTGCAGGATCAACCTCGAGCTCATCCACGCGGAGGTCAGCGGCAGCCTGAAGCGGCTGCTGGACGTGGAGCGCAAGGTGGCAGCCTCGGCCCCGGAGGTGCAGGAGCAGTACACTGAGCGCCTGCAGGCGAGTGCGCGGTCTCCGGGTGGCCGGCGAGCCTGGGGTGGAGGGGCGGGCGCGGGCCTCCCTGGTCCTCGGGCCACGGCACCCAGAGCCCGGGGCCTGCACGGGGGCCACTGCCCACAGACCCGTGCGGCGGCCGACCCCCTCCCACGGCCTGGGCTGTCTCCCCGTGGCAGCCCCCGGGGGTGCCGCTCTGGCCCCCGGGGCAGTGACCCGACCGTGCCCTGCCCCCAGGCCAGCATCGAGGCCTGCCGGGCGCTGGAGGAGGTGTTCCAGGCTGTGGAGCAGAAGAGGCTGGAGCTGGCCCACTACCTGTGCGAGGACGCCCAGCAGCTGTCCCTGGAGGACACGTTCAGCACCATGAGGGCCTTCCGGGACCTCTTCACCCGCGCCCTGAAGGTGGGCTGGGTGCAGGGCTGGGCAGGTGGGGCGGGCGCCCAAGGGCTGGGGTCACCGGCTGCCCGTCCACCCGCAGGAGAACAAGGACCGGCAGGAGCAGGCAGCCAAGGCCGAGAGGCGGAAGCGGCAGCTGGCGGAGGAGGAGGCTCGGAGGCCGCGGGGCGAGGATGGGAAGCCTGGTGAGGCCCGGGGTGGGGGACGGGGGTGCCGGGGGTTCCGCCTGAGCTGCCGCCACGGCCCACCCTCCCCAGTCCGGCAGGGCTGCCCCCTGCTGTGGGTCCTCTCTCCAGGCCACTGGGTGGGCTCGGGGGACCCCGTGAACCCCATCCCTGAGGGTCCTGGGGCTTCCCAGTCAGGAAGGGAGACAGGAAGCAGGAGGAGCCGTGTGTCATCGACGCCCTGCTGGCCGACATCAGGAAGGGCTTCCGGCTGCGGAAGACGGCCCGCGGCCGAGGGGACGCGGAGGGGGGCGGCCGGGCGGCCGCCGCGGAGCCCCGGAGGGACAAGGCGCCTGGTGAGGCCACCGCCCGCCCCGTCACGGCTCTTTGCCCAGCCCCCTCCCCCAGCCATCTTTCCGGCCCAGCGCCCCCCTTTCCTCCGGGGAGCCCTTGCTGATCTCCAGGGACCGTCCCCTGCTGCCCCGAGACGGGACAGCCACGAGCGGGGCTAGAGCGGCCGCTTGCCCCGAGAGTGCTGCCGCGCCTCGGCCGGTCACAGACACCGTCTGGCCCCTGGGGTGGAGGTGAGGGGGGGCCAGAGGGCCCCCTGACAGGGGCCCCGGGGCTCCGATTCCCGGGGCGGTGAGGCAGGGCCTGCCTGGGGGGCCCAGGCGTGGAGGCCGCCGGGGGAGGCTTCGGGGCGGGGGGTGTCCGGGTGGCAGCCGAGGGGGGTCCCTGCTCGGGCATATCTTGAGCAGGTGCAACAGAAAGGCTCCAGGCGCCCTACCCCCACCCACACGCGCTCTGTCCACAGTGGCCTCCGCGGACCCCGCAGGAGGCCCCGTGCGAGGCACCAGCTGCCCTGCCTCCGGACCTGGTCTGGACGTGGCAGCAGCCAGGGAGCCCCAGGACTGGGACCTCGCGGATGCCACCGTCCCCGGCCCACAGCCCCTGGGGGACCGGCCGGAGGAGGTTGGCCCAGGGCCCCAGGAGAGGCGATCTTCCTGGTACGTCGATGCCTGTGACTTCCTGTCCACGGAGGACGCTCAGGCCCTGAAGCCCCTCCAGTTTTCCATGGAGAAGCCTCCTGGGGCCCTGGGTCCGAGCCAGGACGCTGAGGCCCCCGCAGCCCCCCGGGACGTCAGCCGGGCCGAAGCTGACAGCACAGGAGACGAGCCAGGGGACATGGCTGCCCAGGGCCGCGGAGCCGGCCTTCCCGCCGCAGGCCCCGACGGGGACGGGGACAAGGAGGACACGGCCCCAGATTCCGCACTGGACACGTCCCTGGACAGGTCCTTCTCCGAGGATTCGGTGACCGACTCCTCGGGGTCCGGCACCCTCCCCCGGGCCCAGGGCCGGGCCTCAAAGGGAGCGGGCAGGCGGAGGAAGACGCGCTCGTCCCGGGTCCAGGAAGGTAACGCAGGGCCCCTCCCGCCACTCACCCCCCAGGCAGGACCTGGGTGAGCGGGGCAGAGCGCGCTCGGGGCCGGGCCGCGGGGCCAAGCCCGTCGTGCTGACCGGGGCCCTGGGCCCCCCCTGCAGCCAGCAGTGCCCCACCCCCCGGGAGCGGGTGGCGATTCCCTGGGTGCTGCCAGCCCCGTGGGAGCGGAGGGGCAGGGCTGGGGGCCACCGCCGTGACCCACCGCTCCGGCCCCCACCGTCCACTCGGGAGGATGCCCTGCCACGGGCCTGGGCGCGCTGCGCCTTGGTCTGCATCCACGCAGCCCGCTCGGTGTCCAGGGCACCTGGGGGCTGTGAGTCGTTGAGCACGTTTCTTTTATTTGAAAGCAGAGGTCGCCCCCGACTCTGACGATAGTAAAACAAAAAGGTTCTGTGTGATCCAGTAAGGTAGGTCCGCGGCCTGGCGCTCTGCACTAACCGCGGTGGCGGTGGCGGCGGCCCCCCGGCCCCCCCGGACACTAACCCGGCGCCCCGCAGCCCTCCCGTGCCGCTTGGGGTGGGGCCCACCTGGCCCCACCGTCCGCCCTCGTCCCTCCCCGCCCCCCTCCCGGCCCCCGCTCTGGGAGGGCAGGAGCCGTGCTTAGCTGGTGTCGCCTCCGCTGTGGCAGGCGCGACCTCGGGGCTGCCTGCTGGCCTGGGTGCCCTGAGGGACCAAGGTGCCAGGGCCTGGGGAGGAGTAGTTGGCCCCTGGGCCTGGCAGGACAGGCCGAGGTGGCCCTGTCCCTAATCGGGGGCTTTCAGACCCCGTGCCCTGGGGCCCCCAGATGCCACCTTTACTCTGGGTCTGTCTGCCGGGCGCACCCCAGGCGTCCTCTGGCCCTGGTGCTGGCCACTCATATTCGCGGGGGGATGGGCACAGGGGCGGTCCCAGGGACAGGCGCCGCCAGGGACGAGCAGGCCACACCCCCGAGTGGGGTCTGCAAGAGCCTCCCGGGACCCCCGCCTGGGGGCAGGACAGGCGGGGTCTTTGATGTGGCTGGAGAGGCTCACGGATGGACGCCAGCGCGCACACAGGCTGGGTCCCTCCCGCGACCCAGCCTGTGTTGAATCGGGGGCTCCCTGTGCCGGGAACCCCTGCCCCCGGCCCGATCGGGAGAATGGGGTCATCTGCTCCCCACGCACCTCCGGCCACGCCCAGGTGGGCCCGGGGCCCAGCCTCAGCACCAGAGCCTGTGCTGTGGCCAGGCCAGGGGCGCAGGGCCCAGGGGAGGCCTGGCAGGCCCCGGGGAAGGGTGAGCGCCCCTCTCCCGGCAGCCTGTGCTCTCGGCCGCGCTTTCCTGGCGGCGGGGTGGGTCTGGCCCCTTTGAGCTCCGCCCTGGGCCACGCCTGAGCCCCTCCCACAGCGGCGCTCGCTGTGCCGGCTTTGGCGGCAGGAGGGGCCGGCCCTTGTGGCCTGTGGCTGTGGCACTGGCCGTTGGTGAAGGGCCAGTGTGCCAGTGCGGGTCTGTGCCCCTGCTGGCACCGCGGGCCCCGCCTGCGGGCTCGAGGGTTCGGGGCGCCCCCCCAGCCCCCACCCCGCCCTGGGCCCAGGGCGGGGTGGGGGTGGGGTGGGGTGCCTCTTCCTTGTCACCCAGCTTTTTATTTGGAAAAACTTCAGCCTGACAGGCAAGTTGCAAGGAGAGGGAAATGAACACCACTTGCCCTTGACTTTGGAACAACGAGAACTTGCCACACGTAGCAGAATTGTTTGTGTGTGGTGCCCTGTCCCCCACCTTCACGGAGCGACGTCAGGGACCTCTGTGCCGCCCGCCGCTGGCCCCGGAGGTTTCCCCAAAGCCCGAGGCCGCTGTCCCCGGCAGCTGGGCGGCCAACCCTGCAGCCCGGTGTCCTGGTCACTTTCGCAGTGGTCGATTCGATCAGCAGCCTCTGTCGTGCTGACACTGAGATTCTAGAAGACGCCCTCTCAGAGGGCAGGGTTTCGGCGCTCGTGACACATGTCCCGCCTGGGGCGGGCGTGGGCAGCGGCCCTGCAGCCAGCCCAGGGGCGTTTCGCTGGCCGGGACACAGCCTGTGGGCGGTGCCGCCGACACCCGCTCGGCCTGCAGACACCGGCCCCTGCTCTGCGCTCCTCCCACACTTCGCCTGACCCGTCCGGGGCGTCCACGGTGCATCCACGGTGACGCTCCCTGGCCCCAGGGCGCTCCCCGCCCCTGCGCCCGCTGCCTCCCGGCCCCGCCCTGTGGGGCCCGTGCAGACATGCTCAGTCGGCGAGTTCTCACCGTCTCTTTCTGCCGCTCTGGCCCTGTCTCCTGAGCGGCAGATCTCAGACCAGAGGCTGCCCGCCCCCCAGGGACAGCACCCAGCACCGGGGCGGCCTTGGGGCGCAGCCGCGGGGGGAGCGGGGGTCAAGGGCGCTGGATGGGCCCCGGCGCCCTCAGGCTCCAGCTGGAGAAAGACTGGGCAGGAAGGGTCTGGCAGGACGGCCAGTGCGGAGGCAGCTGTTAGAGCCGCAGAGAGAGGAGGTGACAGCGGGGCCCATGAGCAGAGGCAGGGTGCAGCCTGGGGCTGAGATGCAGGAGAGATGAGGGACCCCCTCCCCCGCCTCCAGTGAGACGGGTGGGCAGGCGCCAGCACCGTCCGCCGGGGGGCCTTGCTGCCCGGGAAAGGGCCTGGGTCAGAGCGGACCCGGGCACACGGCCCAGCCCCGGACAGTGAGGGCCTGGGGACCCAGACGCGGGCTCCCTGGCACTGCCCCCAGCAGGGCCGCTCCTAACTGTCCCTTCCTGTCCCCCCACAGGCCTCAGGCCCAAGCCCAAAGCCAAGTGACAGAGCTCGCACGACGGCTGTTCCGCAGCAGCGGGCCCTGGACGGCTGCGGAGAGAGGAGGGCCCCGGCCCGGGCTGTGGCCGGGCGCCAGGAAGCCTAGACTCGGTGCCTTACCCAGCCAGGGAGGCGGGCGTCCGGAGCCGCCGGGGGCGTCGGGCCAGATCCCACACGCCCCGCCAGCCCGCGGACCCTCGGCGCCGCCCGCCCGCTGCCCGCCCTCCTGCCTGCTCTTCGCAGCCGATGCCGCCCCTGTGTGGCACAGTGCCCGCCCGCCCGCGGGGCGTCCGCTGGCTGCCTCCCCATCTTCTCTTAGCTCGCACCCCCTTTCCGGTGACCTGGCCCCCACATAGACGACCCCTTATGGGCCCTGCTCCAGAAGCCACGGGAGCCAGGTGGAGCCGGAGCCCCCGCCGCCCCTTACTGGGTTCCGGTTCCCGCGGCCCGGCTCTGCCCCCAACCTGCTCTGCTGGGCTGGAACAGAGTGATTTTAACAAGAACGTGATTGTGTGTCTGCTGTTCTGTGGCGGCCTTGGTTGGGGTTCTGTGGGTGGGAGAACCCCGGGGCCTCGGGTAGAGGCCGGCGGGCGGGCAGGCGTGAGCTTGGGCGGACGGGGCCCTCTGCTCCACAGGGTCACGGGGGCCGCGTGGAGTTGCGCCGCGTGGGGCCCCCCCACCGTGCATCCAGCCCCGAGGGTGAGGAGGCGTTGGCCCTGGCCGCCATACCGGCCTGCCCCCCTGCAGCCAGGGCCTGGCCCCCTGTCCACAGAGCTGCCCCCGTTGCTGCCCCCAGGGCGGGCTGTCCCCTCCGGGCTGAGAGGAGGCTGAGGGGACCAGAATGGCCCAGCCGAGGGGCTGCCTCCGCTCCTGACCGCCCCGCCCCGGGAGGGCAGCCCGCCTGTGCCCGGACACAGCCCAGTGATGGGCTTGCCACTGGCTGTGTGGGGTGAGGGCCGTGGGCGGGCAGGGCGGGCGCCTGAGCCTCGTGACAGCCGAGATGGCGTGCGTGGACGGCTGGACCGGCGGGTGGGGGAGGGAGAGGGGACCTCCGATAGGGACGGAGCCGCCCTGGGGGCGCAGCGCCTGTACTTGAGCTCCCCGGTCCTAAGTGATGTCAGCAGGCGCACACAGGAAGTTCTCGCCCTGGCCCAGGGTGCAGATGCTTCGTCACCTGCAAGAACGCCCCTCGCCCCGGCCACCGCCGTCCCCAACGCCCTTCCCAGCCCTGTCCCTGTGTCTGCCTTCTGTGGACACTTGGCCTCGGGAGCCCTCTGGCGTCTTGCATTCTGCGTGTTTCTGAGACCCCCCCCGCCCCCGTTGGTGGGGTCAGCACGCCGGTGCTCTGCGTGGCCGCTGTGCCTGCCCGCCCCTGACCCGGCCTCTGAGCGGACGGGGGCTCGTTTTCTTGGGGGTCCAAGCAGGGAACGGCCGGGTCAGGGGCTGTTGTGCGTCACCCCTGACCGAGCTGACCCCCAGGCGGCCGCCCCATGTCTCATTCCCACCCTGCGCTGTCCCGAGCTCCAGGGCAAGGGGCCTGGGTCCCGGTCCCCGCATGTCCCCCGTGAGGTGAGGCCGCACCGTGGGAACCTCGCAGCCAAGCCCACGTGCGCCCTGAGGACGTGCTGGAGGCCCAGCTTGGTGACTAGCGCTGCCGCCACCCTGGTGACAGGCCCGCATGCGCGGGGCCACCGCGAGGGGTGGCGTGGGGGTGGGGGAGGGTTCTAATTCGGGCTGGGCCGTGTGACTGGCAGGGCCCCAGCTGCGGGCCTGGGAAGGGTTGTTTATGGAAAGGCCAGGCTCCCCGGGGCCGCTGGCTATTTATAGCGCCGGGCTTGGGGCACTGGTGCCACCGCCAGCGTCTGGCCTGCAGAGCCCATCCAATGCCAGTGGTGTCCCCTTGGTCCCCGTCTGGGTCTGCCTGGGGGGCAGAGAGGACACCCCCCCAGCGGGACTCCAGGAAATCCTCTCATGGCACCTGGTGGGTGTTTCGGAGGCTCCGCTCCTCCCCTCTCGTCTGGAAACAAGCACACAGAACCCTCCGGCAGTCCCCGGCCCCTCCTGCAAAGTCCACACAGCTAGCTCTTGCACCCCAAACTCCCACCTGAACTCCCAAGCCGGGCGCAGCCTCCTGCCGGCCCCCGGCTCCACCCGCCTCCTGGGCGGCTCCCTTGGCACCTGCTCCGCCGTGGACCCGGAGCCTGCGCCTTGCACCCTGCTGATAACCCACTCTTCAGGGTTCCCCTCAATAGTGCTGAGGGGGAGGGGTAATGGGCGTCCCCGTGTGAGGAGGGGCCATGTTCCCGGCCCAGGGTCACTGCCAGGGCTCCCGCCTGGAGGTGGCGGGCAGGGTGGCCCTCGGCTGGGGCTGGAATCGTTGACGCTCCACCAGCGACCCTCGTGTGACCAGCTGGCGTCCACTCCCTTCTCCCTGAGGAGCAGCTGGTCTCCCTGTCTCCAGCCTGGGAACGCCAGGAGCCCCCAACCCCAGGCCAGAGGTTGGTGGGTGGGCCCTGGGCCCGTCTGCGCCGTGAGCCCCCAGGGAAGGAAGGAGGGGCCTGGAGCGGGGGCCTAAGAGGGCGCTACTGTCCCCAAGGGGCCCGCTGTGTGCAAGCCAGAGTCCACGGGGGACGCGTGTGGGCGTGGTGGCCCACCCCGCTGTCATGCAGCCTGTCCCGGCATCCAGTCCCGCTGCAGCGGGAGCAGGAAAGTGACCGGGGTGGCCCCCCGGAGACCCCGCCCTGGGCATCGCCACTGCGCACCCGCCCTGCCAGGTGCCCTGACGGCACGGGTTGGCCCTTCCTTCTTGGACTCGCGGCCCTGGGGGCCAAGGGCAGCCCGACTCTCAGATGCAGCCCGCGTGCTGGTACCGGCGGGGGCGGGCGCAGCCCCACAGCGCGTCCTGCACCTGGCACCTGGGCCCCGCGCGCGGGGGAGACGCGCTGTCCTCGCCGCGGCCACCAGAGGGCGCGCGCGCCGGCCCATGGGACCCGGGCTCAGCGCGGGGTAGGTGCGTGCCCCCAGTCGCCGGGCGTGCGGACCCTCGCGCGGGGGGCGCAGAGACGCAGCTCCCCTTTCGCAGGCCGCGCGCCCGCGCCGGAGGGGCCCCCGCAGGTCCCGGAAACCCGAGGTCCGGGGCACGGCGGGATGGGGTCGCAGCGCCCAGGCCGGTCCGGGGGCGGGGGGCGCAAACGCCCTCGTGACGTTCTGGGGGCGCCCAGACAGGCCCGAGCGGGGGACCCCGGCGCCAGCCGCCCGTTCGTGTGCCCCAAAGTGCCCGCGGCCCAACTCGGCTCCCGGCGGCGGCGGGGGCGGGACCGGGGGCTGGAGGTCACCGAGCGTCACGGGGCCCGGGGCCCGCCCCCCGCCCCGGGCCGGCGCCTTTTAACGGCGGGGCCGGCGGACTCTCGGCGTCCAGCGCGGCGGGCAAGCCGGGCAGCATGTCGGCGACCCGCGCCTCCAACGACCGGCCGCCCGGCGCGGGCGGCGTCAAGCGGGGGCGGCTGCAGCAGGAGGCGGCGGCGACCGGCTCCCGGGTGACCGTGGTGCTGGGCGCGCAGTGGGGGGACGAGGGCAAAGGCAAGGTGGTGGACCTGCTGGCCACGGACGCCGACATCATCAGCCGCTGCCAGGTGCGCAGGGCCGCTCCCCACCCAGCGAGCCTCCCACCCTGCCCGGACTCGGCACGCCTCTCGGAGCCCTTCCCCCCGGGGACACCTTCCCAGCGGCCACCCCCCACCACCCACCCAGCCACGCGACACCCCCTCCCCGCGCTCACCCTGCCCTCCTTGCGCGGGACACCGCGTCCCGCGGACCCACCTTCCCCACCCGCCCCGCCCCCACGGCTGCGCGGGCCACGGGCAGAGCTATAAATACAAGCCCTGCTGAGTTGGGGACACCCGATCCTCAGGGGGTGGAGTGGGCCTTGGGTGTGCCGCTGGGCCCTCCCGTGGGGGGAGGCAGGGACCCCAGCTCCCAGGTGGCCTGAGGACTGCGGGGACGCCCCCGCTCCTCATTCTGTGCAGCCTGGGATGGGGCTGGCTGTCGCCACACAGCGCTCCGGCCTGCGGTGGGGGCGGGGGGCTGGGGAGCAGGCGGGCTGAGCGAGCAAGGCGTGTCTGGGAGGGTGTGACCCTGGGGTGTCGGCCAAGAGGAGGCAGGGGCTAGGGCAGGACGTGGGGAGGAAGGCGGGGCGAGGAGGAGGAGGGTCCAGGCTGGACGGAGCGGGGGGCAGGAGCCCTGGGCATCTGGCCGGGGTGACCAGCAGCTGGCAGTGCCCCCCAGGAGGCCGGGCTGGGCTTCGTCCCCCGAGGGCCCAGGGCGGGGCCTCTGCCTGCTGCCGGGGGAGGGGGTGAGGGACACGGGCGGTCCCCAGGGATCGCTGCCCTGCCGTAGGGCCGCCCGGCTGTGCCTGCTGCCTTGGCCGACAGAGGTCAGGGCACAAAGGGGCCAGTGGTGGGCGTGGGCATCGGTGCTCCTGGGACTGAGAGCCACCAGCAAGAATGCGCCCCAAAACGGGGAAGGGGCGCCCCTGGGCCCTGGCTCCCTCGGGCTGGGTCCCGCCCCGACGCTGGGCCCCGCCCCGACGCTGGGCCCAGAGCCCCCTGAGAAGGGACAGGCCCAGCAGCCGGGCCACCGCTGCCCAATGCTGACGGGGCTCCCGGGAGACGCTTCCTGGGCGCGACTCAGGACGGTCGTCCGAAGCCGGGGACGGGGGTGGGGGGAGCAAGGCCACCCCCCGCCGAGAGCCCAGCGCAGAGGCAGCCCCCGAGCCCCTGCGGTGTGAGCCCTGTGCCCTGCGGCCCTGCGCGGCGCGGGGCCTGTGGGCTGACCCCCCCTCCGCTCCCCAGCGCACGACGCCCCTCCTCCGGCCGGCCTGCCCGGGGGACGCCCAGGGCCCTCCTCGCCCACTGCTGGCCTGGCCAGCCTCTCTGCCCTTCGCGGCCCGCCCCCTCCTCGGAGTGGCTCTGCAGTTTCCCTGGGCCACCGGGAGCCCGTTCCAGCTGTGCGGACGGAGGGGCCTCGGGCGGAGCTCTGCCACCAGCTCGGCCAGCAGGGCCGCGTCTCCGCAGCGAGCGGACAGGCGCACCCGGGGCCGCGCAGGCCGGGCTGGAGTCCGTCTGGGCGCCGCCCGGAAGGGCTGCCACCGGCCAGCCGCAGTGACCACGCCGCCTGGCCTGTCACCCGGACCTGGGCCTTCCCGGTGGCAGCTGCGTCCCCCACGGCTGCTCTGTCCTCGTTCTCATCTCAGTCGTTGGGGGCCTGCGCCCCCGCCTCGGGCCCTGGGGCCCCCGCCCTCTTCCTCGCCTGCAGGACCTGTTTCAGAGGCAGCCCCCCTTCTCCCAGCCTCACGTCCCGCGTCCCCCCGCCCTCCTTTGCCCCAGGCCTCGCCCCGGGGCCCCCGGGAGGGCAGCCGCTCTTGGCTGGGACTGCGTGAGTGAGCGGACGGAGGGCGGGGCCTGTCAGTGGGAATGGAACGGGGTGAATGGAACGCGAGCTCCCCGGCCGCCCGCGGACCTGGGCCCAACGTCTCACCCGAGCCGGCCCTGCTGCCTGTCCCGCACGGCCTTGATGGAACCGGCCGCTGCCCCCGCTGCCCGGGGGCCTCCTCCCGGCCGCCACAGCCACACAGCGCTGCAGGCCTCCAGCCTCTGAAGGGCTGGCCGCGCCCACCCCAGGCTCTCCCCTGTCCTCTCCGACGCTCCCCTGTCCTCACGGACAGAGGGGGCGGGGTTGTGTCCCCGGGCAGGGAGGCCAGGCCGGCTTCGCGGGAGCCTGGGCCACGTGTGAGGCCAAAGTTGCCGTCCCAGCCATCAGCCATCGAGGGGGCCGTGCAGTGGGGGCCAGAGAGGGAACCGTGGGGCAGGGGAGTGGGTGGGGAGGGCGAGGGGCCTGGCCGGTCAGAGGCCACAAGGGGGAGGCCTCCAAGCAGACGGCGGGAACGCCAGGCAAGGACAGATGCTAGAGAGCAAGGCTGGGGACACATCGGGGCGGCGAGGCTCACAGAGTAGGCTCCATCTGGGGGCCCCTCCCTGTGTTGAACAGGGGCATGAGGAGGGTGTGCGGGGCCCCCCTGCAGGGACATCGGGGACGCCCGGGGCTGCGTGTCGCCGGCCCAGGTCACCACCCACGCCCCCTGGGGACAGGCTCCGTGAGCGGCTGGGCCTGGGCCGGCTGAACGCCAGTGGGGACAGGAAAGGTCAGGCTGGTCTGATCCCTGAGTGGGCCGGCCTTGGCCTTGGCCTTGCGCCTGTGCCTGAGAGGGCGGTAGCCCCCCTTCCTTCGGTCCCTGACGCCAAGGAGGCAGCTGGCCTCCACGGGGGACTTTGAGCGACTGGCCAGGCTGGCAGGTGGGGGGGCTTCCGCGCCCTGGGGGAGCTGAGAGCTGTACCAGACGCCTCCCCACCACCACCGAGGGGAGAACCCCTGGAGGCCGCCCCGGCCCGTGCCGCTCCCGCTGACCCGCAGGTGCGGGGGGCCGACTCCCGGGAGCTGTGGGGCAGATGCTGGCGCGGAGCCCCGGGGACCCCTGGGCTGCCCCGACCTGCGACGGGCTGGCTCGCGGTCACACGGCCGCCCGGGACAGGGAGGCAGAGAGCAGCCCGCAGCCCGGCCGGGCCGGACAGGCCGCCCACGGGCCAGCTGCCCTCTCCAGGCGGCTTTGCAACCCGGGCCGCGGCCCAGCAGCCCTGGCCGCCGCTCCCTGGGCCTGCGGGCAGCGGCCGGGCCCAGCCTGAGGATGGCCCGTGGGGGGCGTCCCTGCCCTGCCACCTGCAGCCCAGGGGAGGACAGAGCAAGGTCTCTGGCATAGCTACCCTGGGCTCCGCACCCGGCCCTGGGGGTGGCCTCTGGGCGGACGCCCGGCCCCGCGCTGCCCGGGGTCCTGTGACGCCCGTTGGTCCACACGGCCAGAGCCTGTTCCCGGGGGCCCTGTTTATACTAAGCAAAGGCGCTCAGAGGCCCCTGCCAGGCACTCAGCAAGGCGGGCCGGGGGGCGGCCCCCGTGGCGGGGGCGTGTCTGGCACCCTGGGCTCCGCTGCCCACTCCCCTCTCTGGGCACCTCGGTTTCCCGTCAGTCCCCGGAGACAACGCCCCTCCCTGCCCTCCCCCGGCTGCCCCTCACTGGGTGGCAAAGGCAGCCGTGGGGGAGGCCTTGTGCAGAGAGCCTCCTGAGGGGACGGTGCCCACGTGGGCGGAGGGCCGGGCGGAGCGCGGGGGTCCGGGAGGCGCAAGGACCCCGCGACCGGGGGCCGTCGGTCACGCGCGCCTGCCTGGACCCCGGCTGCCCACGCCCTGCAGGGCGGGACTGGGGTCTGCGGGGAGGCCCGCCCCGCCGCTCGCTGCCCCGCTCCCCACCCTGCACCTGCACCTCCTCCCACCCCCAGCCCCTCTGGGAGGCTCATCCGGGTCCCCTCCCAGCACAGACTCCACCCGGGGCCCCCGAGGCCTGGCGCTCTGCCCGCCCTCGCTCACGGGGTGTCCCCCTCAGTGCTCGGCCCCGGAAGCCCCTTTGTCCTCTGCTTCCCTGCCCCCCACAGCCCCCACAGCCACGGGGCCTGGGGGAGCAGCAGGTCCACCCTTGGGGCTCGCGCCGGGGGCGAGGCAGGGCCGCCAGGACGCAGGCTGGGATGCTGGTGACCCCGTTCTGAGACAGCCCACCGCGAGCACAGCCTCCACGCCCCGGGCCAGCCACGGGGCGTGTCAGACACCCGTGGGTGCTGTGGGCGCGACACCGGTGTCTGGGACCCTCGAGGGGAGCCAGCAGGGGTGGGGGCGGGGCTGCAGCCCCTCCTCATTTAGCGACTCGCCTCTGCGCCTGCTGCCCCCGCCCCGGCTATTTCGGGGAGGAGCTGGGAGACAGGCAGTCTGTCCCGACACGGGGTGAGGGGCAGGTGCCCCCGCGGGAGCCGGGGAGGCAGCGTGTCCTTCGGCCCGGCCTGGGGCAGGCAACGAAAGGCCATGAGGCCCCACCCGGCCAGGCCCTGCGGGGGAGGCGCTGAGGCCTCCATGGCCTGCAGCCTGGGACCCCTCTGCAGGGCGGGGCAGCGAGTGTGGCGAGGAGGAGCCGGTGTCCGTGGGAGACAGAGGCAGGAAGCGGGGCCGACTGGGCGCGGGGGTCCTGGGGACGCATGAGGGGCAGGGCCGCAGAATGGACACCACCGGCACCTGCCCCTGCCCGGACCCAGCTCCCAGCTCGCTCACTGAGGGGACCCCGAGGGCGGGGCAGCCCCAGGCTGGGAGGACCGGCACCCGGGGACCACGGTGCCCTCTAGTGGTGGGACGTGGGGCTGCCGGCCGGGCCTCTCTCTTCGTGAGGCCTTCCCCGTCCGCAAAATTTCCAGAAAGGGATGCTGTGGCCTGGCGTCCCCCGGGCGGGGCTGGTCCCAGGGCTGCGTCCTCCTTTCTACCCCTAAGTGGAGGTGTGGGCCCTGAGGGATGGCCAGCCCGCCGCCGCGGGGGCCTGCGCCCGTGCGGCCAGCAGGGCCGTGCCTCCGCGTCGGCGGAGGCCCCGGCTCCAGGGGCTGTGGGAGACGCCCCGTATCCGCTCCAGGAGCAGGGCTCCGACCCAGCTCACCCCAGGCGCGCACCAGAGCCGACGCCAGGCCAGACGCCCTAGACCCAGCATGGACGGCCCGCCCGGGCCCCGGGGGGCGGTGCCCCAACCCCACGCGGCCTGGAGGCGGTGCCGGGCGCCGGGCGTTCGCGCTGGCCCGGGGTGCGGCTGGAGGCGTGGACGGGTGGTCCCAGCCCCCGGGCTCCTGGACACTCGGCCGGTTTCTGTCCCCAGGGGGGCAACAACGCGGGCCACACCGTGGTGGTGGACGGCAAGGAGTACGACTTCCATCTGCTGCCCAGCGGCATCATCAACACCAAGGCCGTGTCCTTCATCGGTGAGTGCCCCCGCCGCTCCGCCGGGGGCGTTGTCAGCCCTGGCTGCCCCCGCACACCCTGCTCTCACACCTGGGAGCCCGTCCTCAGGCCCTCAGCCCGATGGGGCAGGCGAGGGAGCCAGGGCACCTCCCAGCCTGGGCCAAGGCGAGGGAGGGTGCCGGGGGCTCCGCCGAGCTCCCAGCCTCCCCGAGGGTGCTGAGCAAGCCCACGTGGGGGTGCGGTGTGGGCCTGGGCGCGCGTGCGTGATGGGCCAGGCCTCCTGCGGTGGCTGCGTGCGGGCAGCCGGGCCTGGGGGAGGAAGCTGTGCTTTCCTGGCCCTGCGTGAGGGCCTCGTGCCCTCAGCAGCCCCCCGCCCCCAGCCCGCCTGGTGACTCTGCGGTGCCCCTGAGAGGCGGAACCCCCTCCAGGCTGCGTGGGTGTCTCCAGCCCCGCCCCCGCCCCGTTGCCCCCACGCCCTCGGTGAGGAGGCCTGGCTCCCTCTCCGCGCTCGGCTCTCAGCCTCCCCTGCCCGGAGAAGCTTGTCCTGGTCCCCGGGCCAGGCCCCTGGGATGTGCTCGAAGAGTTTCCAGTGCTTTTCCTTCTGGCTCTTTCCTTGGCCGAGCCACACTCGTGACTCATCTCTGCCCACCCCTCCTGGGTCCGGAAGCAGGGGCTGCAGTGCCCAGGGGCAGCCTGGGGCCCGGCCCCTGGACGGGAGGCGTGGGCCGCGGGCTGCATGCTGGCGGGCCGAGCAGGGGTCTCCGAGCACCCGCTCCACGTGGGGGCGGGCCCTGGGCCCCGGCCTGGCCCGTCTGCTGCCCCCACCCCGCCTGCTCGCCAGCAAGCGAGGCCAAAGAGGCCCCACTTCACGGGGTGGGGGCGCTCTGCCTGGTCTCGGAGGAGCTGGGGACTCGGCGGGGCCCGTGCCCGGAGCCCAGGCTGGACGGGCACCAGGGCACATCAGCAGGGGCCCGCATGCCAGGCACCGTGGCTGGACGGCGCCCGAGAATCACACCGCGTGAGGGCTGAGGGAGCTGGAGCTCAGGCAGCTGCCCCTGAGCTGGCGACGCTCCCTGGCCCTGCCACGTGGCCATTTCAGGACGTGTGGCATTTAGGTGACCTTCTGTGCCTGGCGTGGCTCGCGCTGTCGGAGTCACTCCCTTCTGGACCGGCGTCCTGTTCTCCTCGGCCAAGCCTGTGCCACGGGAGCCAGTGGCCTGGCCCAGCGGCCCGGGTGCTAGAGGGACGGGCCCGCGTCTGGCTGTACCTGGGCCCCGCGGGGACGTGCGGCCCCGGGGCCATCGGCCCATGTGCCCGCTCGGCCGTGTGGCGGGACCCCAGGCTCCGGAAGCCAGCTCGCGCCTGCAGCGCGGGGCCGGCCTCTCGGTGCTCCCGCCTCAGGCCGTTTCCGTGACTGGGGCGGCGTCCGTGAGGCTCGATCTCCGCGCCACGGACGTCACCCGCCGGCGGGCCGCTGTCACCGCAATCTGGCTTCAGAACGTGGCTGTCACCCCAAGCCCGGCCCACCGCTCCGCCCCGTCCCTGCGGGTGCTCTGGCCGCCGTCCCCGCCCCGTCTCCAGAACCTTCTCTCCTTCCCAGACCGAACCTCATCCGAGTCACGCACGGACCCCCAGCCCCACCGCCAGCCCTGCGCCGCCCTCTGCCGTCTGTCCCCGCAGACCTGCCCCCTCCCCGGGACCCGTGTGGGTGTGGCCACACCCGCCCCCAGTGTCTGCGGGGTTTCACTCAGCACGGCGCCCCCAAGGCCCATCCCGTCGCGGCGTCTCCTCATTCAGGCCGAGGGGCCTTCCGGGGCCCGGAAGGACCACGTGAGGTCACCCGCCGCCCCATGGCGCACACGGGGCTGCGTGCCTGTCTCAGCCGCGCGACCGCGGCTGCTCGGAACGCGGGGTGCGGATTCCGTGCCATGGTGAGCGCGGGTCCCCCGCGTCCGTGACAGGGCTCCGCCTCCACCCGTGTGTTGCAGGCAACGGGGTGGTTGTCCACTTGCCGGGCTTGTTTGAAGAAGCAGAAAAGAACGAGAAGAAAGGTAGGTCTGAGTCCCCAGAGACACGCCCTGTCCTGACACCTGAGTGTCCCCAGCGGCCCAGTTGGCCGACGCCTGGCTCTGCGGTTTCTCTGGTGGGCTGACGACGCCTTCGGGGAGGGGTGTGGTTCCCGGGGGCTCCTCGGGGCCAGGAGGCAGGCGGGCAGTGGCTGAGGGGCCCCGCAAGGGTGGTGCCGGGGCAGGCTGACCGCAGCCAGGCAGCCCGCGCCCCCGAGAGAATCGGGAGGGAAGCAGAGCCTCGCCCCAGGCTCAGGTCACGGCAGGTGCGAAGAGGGTGCCCGGGCGCCGGGGACGCAGGCGCCACGACGGAGGCCCGGGGGGGCAACAGGTGCCTGCGGGATGCGGGCAGGTGCCCCCGGGGGCGATGGCGTGGGACCGCCGGCGGGGAGAGGCCACGAGGGGAGGGCCCGTCCCTGGGCACCCCTCGGAGGTGACGGCGGTGGCTCCTGCCCGGGCGGGCGCGGGCAGCCGGCCGCCTCAGCCCCCTCGCCTGCGCCCCCCGCAGGCCTCAAGGACTGGGAGAAGAGGCTGGTCATCTCGGACCGCGCCCACCTCGGTGAGTGCCCCGGCCCCCCGCCCCGCCCCGCGGCGAAGGGCGCCCTCCGTGGCCCCGTCCCGGACGCTGAGCCCACGTGGCTCTGCTCGGCCTTCCTGAGCTCAGGGTGGTCGGGATCATGGTGCCCCTGGGCAGCCCACGCCCCGGGGGGCTCGCGGTCCCACAGGGGTGGGGGGGGAGCGGCGTCCAGATTCCTGTTTGTCCCCTCCCACACCGGGCCCCTCCCCCGCCCCGAGGACGCCCGGTGCGGCCCCTGACGCCCGGCCTGTCCCCGCCCGGGGCCCTCCCGGCCCGCAGTGTTCGATTTCCACCAGGCGGTCGACGGGCTCCAGGAGGTGCAGCGGCAGGCCCAGGAGGGGAAGAAGTGAGTGCCGGAGTGGCCGCCAGCTGGCGTCCTGCGGGCGCGGCCGGCCAGCGCGGCCGGGTGGGAGGGGACTGGACCGGAGCCCCGGAGCCGCCGGGGGGCAGCCGCCGGGGGGTCGCCCCCGCCCCGAGTCCTGCAGGCCGACCGAGCCCGCCTCCCCCTGGGTCGTGCCGTCCTCCCTGGCCACCGCCCCCGAGGAGCGCCCTGCTGCCCGCTCCTGCCGCCGGGATTCCCGGCCCACCGTGACCCCACGCACGGCCTGTCCTGCCTGCGCCTGCCCCCTCCCGGCCCCCGGGGCCCTGAGAGCTGGCCTGTCGGTCCTCGCAGCCGCCCAGACTGCCGGGCGCCGCTGCTGGACGGGCACCTTCCATGGCAGGGGTGGAGATAGGTCGGGGGCGCTGGCCGGGGCCCAGGCCTCCCCTGCTCACAGCCACCCGTCTCTCAGCATCGGCACGACCCGGAAGGGGATCGGACCCGCCTACTCGTCCAAGGCGGCCCGCACGGGCCTGCGCATCTGCGACCTGCTGTCTGACTTCGACGAGTTCTCCTCCAGGTAGCTGGCCGCTCGCAGCCCCGGGCGCCTGGCCGGCGAGAGGGACTCGGGGCTCCGGCAGGCTGCGGGGGCTCAGTCGCTGTCGCCTCGGCAGGTTCAAGAACCTGGCCCACCAGCACCAGTCCATGTTCCCCACGTTGGAAATAGACGTTGAGGGTCAACTCCGAAAACTCAAGGTAGAGCGGGGAGGCCGGGCAGCCTGGGGCTCGGGGCGGGGGGGCCCCGCCTCGTTCTGCCGGCTCCCGGAGTGCACACCTCGGGGCGCCATCTTGGGGTGGCGGGCCTCCTGCGCGAGCCCCCCACGGGGGTGGTGAGTCGGGAGGCCTCCTCGGGGCTCCGGCTCGCCCGCCTGGCTGGGCCCGCGTCCTCTCTGGGGGAGCTGGGGGAGGGAGGCCGTCCCTGTCCCATCTGAGGCAGGAGGTGAGGGTGTCCCACAGGCCCCGAGAGGGCCAGGCGGGGCGGAGGGCAGGGAGCAGTCAGCACAAAGCCCCCCCCGGAAGTTTCCAAGGCCGGGATCCTGCTCCTCCCGCCCTTGTCTGGGGCTGTAGCGAGGACGGGGACGGACCCATAGGGACCTCAGCTCTGCGGGGTCAGCTCTGTGGGGTCAGGGCCTGCCTGGCGCCTCGTCTGCGCTTTGATTGCCTCCCGGGCAGCCCCATTCTGAGCGCCTAGGGGTCCGGGCCAAAACATAGGAATTGGGGAACACACTGCACGTTCCCTGAGAAGAGCGCTGGGCCTCACAGACCAGCCCCGGACGGTCCCGTGTGCAGACCTGCTTGGCGGGGACTGTCCGGGTGAGCCGGGCTGTGGGGAGGGGCGGCGCTGGGGGGCTGCCACCCGCAGCCACGCTGCTCCCGCAGGGCTTCGCCGAGCGCATCCGGCCCATGGTCCGAGACGGCGTCTACTTCATGTACGAGGCGCTCCACGGCCCCCCCAAGAAAATCCTCGTGGAAGGTGCCAACGCAGCCCTCCTGGACATCGACTTCGGTACGTCCTGGCAGGCTGGGCCCTCGTGTCTGCCAGGGGACGGGCACAGGGCCGGGCCCCTGCCTCCACCGTGCTCCCCTCCAGCCGCGAAAACAGTGGTGCCGCCCCTCATACTGACTGACGCTGCGGGGGCGGGAGACCGGGCGGGGCGGGGATAGCTCCCTCCTGTCCCCAATCCTGTGGGGCCACTGCCCCCGGATGGCCCCTGAGACACTCTCCTTGGAGACCCCTGAGGGGCCGGGGGCTCATCCACCACTGGCCTCTGCCCGAGGGTCCCCCGGGCTGGGGGCACCTGGGGGGGTGGCGGAGGGTCCCCGACCTGTTCTGTCCTGCAGGGACCTACCCCTTTGTGACGTCATCCAACTGCACGGTGGGCGGCGTGTGCACGGGGCTGGGCATCCCCCCGCAGAACATCGGCGACGTTTACGGCGTGGTCAAGGCCTACACCACACGCGTGGGCATCGGCGCCTTCCCCACCGAGCAGATCAACGTGAGCCCCCGCCCGGCGGAGCCCCTGCGGACGGGGCGGGGGCAGGCGCCCGTGGGGGCCATGCCAGGACAGGCCGTGCCACACAGCCCTGCCCCCAGGGCGTTGCTGGCGAGTGGCGTCGGGGCCCCCCCTTGGCTCAGAGAGGACCCTCAGGATGCCGGGGACCCGCCTGGGGCACCTGGCCTTGTGTCCTGCCGGCCTCGAGGGCAGGAGGCCGTTGCCCTGACCCGCCCTGTGTGAGGGCCGGAGCAGGAAGAGAGGCGCTGCGTCCAGAAGTATCTGGCAGCCTTAACAGGCAGGGGACGCAGGCATAGGGGCAGGGACCACGGGGGGGCAGACTCGCACCCGCCAGCCCCCGCTAAGCTTCGCACTGGCCCCTCCTGCCCTCGCCCCCTGCACACGAGTGCCGACGGGAAGGGGGTGAGCAGGGCCCGTGCCCCCCACCCCCGTCCGAGTCCTCCTGTGACCCCCGCTGGCCAGCAAGGCGCAGCCCCAGCCGGGGCGCCCTGGCCTGCGAGGAGGGGCCTGCAGGGGGCGCAGCCTTAGCGGCGAGGACGCGCGGGGGAAGGCCGGGCACCCTTTCCTGCGCCCGCGGACCTGCCCTGTCCCCACGCAGGAAATCGGCGACCTGCTTCAGAACCGCGGCCACGAGTGGGGGGTGACCACGGGCAGGAAGAGGCGCTGCGGCTGGTTGGACCTGATGATCCTGCGATACGCTCACATGGTCAACGGGTTCACCGCGTAAGCGCTTGTGCCGCGCCGCCGTCCAGCACCGCCCGCCCACCCCGGGGACCCTCACGAACCCCCCGGACTCCACCGGGGCTGGGTGTCGGGGCTCAGGGCCACAGTCTTCCCCCTGGGGCGTTGTCAGCCCGTCTGCACCCGTCGCACGGCGGGGCCCCACTGGGTGGTCCGTGGAGCCCTGTGCCGGGCGCCCCGAGCCGTGAGCAACGCCGTGGAGGCCACAGGGCACCTTGGCCCCTGCGAGAGGCTGAGCTAGTTCACCTGTGGACGAGGGGGCGGTGGACCCAGAGCCACAGGGCCCCGCACGCTGCCGCGCGGGAGCTGGCCCGGGCGGCCGAGCCGGGCTGCGCGGGCCTCTGGGGTGTCAGGGGCGAGGCGGGGGCCGTGGGCAGGGGAGGCCCCGTCCCAACACAGCGTGGGACCCAGTGCCGGGGAGGCCTCGCCCTGAGCTCGCGGCCCCGGACAGAGGCCCCTGCTGCAGGCGGCGCAGCCTCTCCCGAGCCCCGGAAAGACCCGGCAATTTGCAGAGACGGGGCTGGAGAACCGCCGATCCAGGGCGCTGACGCGAAATGGTGTTTTTGTTTGTTTTTGTTTTTAATCCCCACCTGAGGACACGGTCACTGATTTTAGAGAGAGGACAAGGGAGAGAGACAGAGGGACAGAAAGATCCACGTGAGAGAGAAACATTGATAGGTTGCCTCTTGCGCGACCCCTACTGGGGACCAAACCTGAAACCCAGGAAACCCTGTGCCCTGCCCAGGAATCGAACCGGCGACCTTTTGGTTCGCAGGACGATGCTCCAACCCACTGAGCCACCCGGCCAGGGCATGAAATGCTGTTTGTAGGCAGAGCCCGGCTGTACTCATAGGCACTTCAGAGCCAGGCTGAAAGGGAGACGGGAAAGGGAGAAGCTTGTGTGAGGTCCTGGGCCCAGGGCCTGCTGGGAGGGAGGGCGGCGCAGCGGCCGCCACCGTTGGCGTCAGTGGCGTGGACGCGGCTGGGCCTGTGCGGGCGGCCGGGCAGCGGGCAGAGCCTCCTGAAGGCTCCTGGGCCTGGGGCAGGTAGAGGGCCGATGGCGTGGGAGGTGCGCCCCAGCCTGCCCGCCGTGCCTCTCCCTGAGGGCCTCGCTTCATGCCCTGTCCTCGGAGCGGAGGGGAACGGGGGAGGGGCCGGCAACGCCAAGAGCTCCCTGCCCACAGCCCCTTCCCTCGTGTCTCCTTGGTTTGGACAGGCTGGCCTTAACGAAGCTGGACATCCTGGACGCCCTGGACGAGATCAAAGTCGGTGTCTCCTACAAGCTGAACGGGAAAAGGATCCCCTATTTCCCAGGTATGCGCAGAGGGGCTTCCCGCGTGGGCGGCTGCACCGGCCCGGGGTGGGCGTGACCGGCGGGTCCCAGCGACCAGAGGAAGGGCCGCCCCTGGAGTGCTCGCCTGACCCCGGCCTCGCAGGCTCTCAGCCACGAGGGCGGCCCTCCCGGTCTCTGGGCGGCCGCAGGCACGTCCCGCAGTTCGGAAAGAGCTCGGGGGCCTGGCCCGGCGGCCGGTGGAGGGCAACTCGGCACCAACCCGGGCAGGGGACCCGCAGGCGCCTGGGCGCCAGGCCCGCCTCCTGTGAGCAGATGCGACTGCTCTGGGGACCTAACACTGCGATGGGAAGAGGGCCCTTTGGCCTAGGAAAGCACCCTTTCAGGGGGCTGTGTAAGACCCACCGGGGCCTCGCTGCCTCCGTCCCTCCCCGGACAAAGCCTGAGTGTTGTGCTGCTTTCCTGAGTCTCGCGGTTCCTGAGGGATCACGTTCCGGCCCAACTCCCGGCGGCGGCTCCCTCCCCCGGTTCCGGTTCCGGCCCGGCCCCTGCGGTGGGCGAGCTGCCCTGCCCTCCCCTGGCTGTGTGGACCCACCAGTGGCTCCCGAGTGCCCGCCCTGCTGACCCTGACCTCTGAGAGGGCGCAGCAGGAGAGCCATGGGGCCGAGGGTCAGGGCCCCGGGGCGGCACAATCTCAGAGGGGCTGGGGCTCAAGACCCGCGGGGCGGACGGCTCATTCCAGCGTCTTCCGTCAGTAACAGGCGGTCGGCATCTGCTGCGAGCCCAGTGTCCCTTCCAAGCGGGGTCCCTGTCCTGGGAAGGGCCGGGGACTCAGCTCAATCAGGGTTTCTTAACAGGGCAAACTCAGAGCCCCTTAGAATCTCCAAGCAGGGTCCTTGGCGCTGCTCAGCTGAGTTACCCACGGACAGTCCAGCAGAGCACGTGACGAGTCCGTGTGCAGCGTGGACGTGTTCCCCTGGCTTGGAAGGGGTGCCCCTCCCCAACCCTGAGAAAACCCAGGAGGGCGACTTGCCCCCCTCGCCACGGAGCCCCCAGGGAAGCAGCCCGCAGGCTGGGGGTCCCCGCGACCCAGGGTCCGCGCAGGCGAAGGAGCAACGCCTGAGGGACGTCACCGCCCCCGTGTGCCCCTAGCTAACCAGGAGATCCTGCAGAAGGTCGAGGTGGAGTACGAGACGATGCCTGGGTGGAAATCAGACACCACGGGCGCCAGGAAGTGGGAGGACCTGCCCCCACAGGCCCAGAGCTACGTTCGGTTTGTGGAGAACCACGTCGGAGTGGCAGGTGGGTGCCGCGCCACGGTCCCGCCCCGCCCACCCCGCCCTGCCTGCCCGACCCGCCCCGCCCCGCCCCAGCCTGAACGCCCTCCTTCCTTTCAGTGAAGTGGGTTGGTGTCGGCAAATCAAGGGATTCGATCATCCAGCTGTTCTAGACGGTGATCGCGCGGCCCCAGGGGGCGCGCCCGCCCACGTCCTGGGCGGCAGAGCAGGCGCGTGAGACCGGGGCAGGGAGCTGCTCCCCCGCGTGGGCGTCGGCTGCGAGCCCTGGCTCAGCCCGCGGACCCTGCGGCTGCGCGGAAGCCCGGAAGCCGGTGCGGCGCACGGCCGCACGCCCCTGCCGCTCGGAGCGAGCCCCGCGCTGGAGGCACGGACTCTGGCGGCACGTTCGTGCCACGTGGCTGTGTGTCTGGCCAGAGCAGTTTAGCAATAAACATCCAAGGGCCATTGAATGGTAGTGGTCACGCATGTTCTGTTCCAGCTCGGTCCTTTTGTTTTGACTCTTAAACACTAAACATCGCCACCGATGCTTTGCCGGGACAGCCGTCTGGGTGGCACACGCGTGTGGCTCACAAAGCCAGGAGGTTTGCCAGAACCAGCCCGTGTGAGAGAGACCACGTGCGTTTTCCAAAACCAAATATCACAGGATTTTGATCTGGAGCCCAAGCATCCCCCCGACACCCCTGCCCCACCCCGGTCCCCCCTGGGTCTCAGCGGCTGGACTGAGCCACCGGTCACGGGCACGTCCCTGGCTGTGCCCCAGGCACCCAGCTGAGCAGCTTCCTCAACAGCTCCTCAGGGTTTGGGGTAAATCAAGAAAAATGGCTGTCCGTTGGATGTCATTGAGAGAGGGGAGGAATTCCGTGGAGAGGCCCCACGTCAGCAGGGTGGGAGCGGGCTTCTCCGCGCCCAGAGTACTGGCTGGGTCACTGAAGCCGGTTTGAGCCTCCGGTGCGGCTGGCTCCCCGAGGGAGACGCGGAGCCCTGGGCTTCACCGGGCTTGTAGGCATCTCCAGCGGTACCCAGAGTGGTTGCAGGGACTTGAACGAAGTCAGGAGAACACCCATCACCGGCAGCTGGGCTCTGTGGGGCGCAGGTGACAGGCACACACAGGAACGGCCTGAGTTCGCAGAGAATTATCCCCCCCCTTCCACAGCCCAGTGAGGAGACAGGTGAGCTCTGGGGGCCCCGCCCCTCACGGCCCCCAGGGAATGGCTTCTCCTTGTGAGGGGACTGTCTGGCAGCATCTTGCTACCCCTGAGATGCACGATTCTGGTGGTCGACCAGAGTCGGCCTTTTTCAAAGGAAAGAGAAAGCCCTCCACGCTGCCAGCCTGCGGTTTTAAGGTTTTAATTCGGGACCGGCCAGAAGCTTTCAGTCTGGGTTCTGCGCTGGCTGCTGACCCTCCGCTCCGGCCCAGGCGCGTGCCCTATTTCCTCCATCTCGGGACAAGACCTTTAGGAGGAAGCCCCAGGCCGCGGCGAGGCGTGCGTCAGCGCAAGGAAGACCCGAACCTTTGCAGACTGGAGAAAGAGGTTGTATCCGGGCCCAGCAGAGCGCCGTCCCAGAGCGGGGCTCCTGGCGGCCTGGGAAGGGTCTGAGCGCAGGAGCGGCCGCGGTGCTCCCGGGGCCCCAGGGGCGCAGGGAAGGGCTGGTGTGCACCCCCGGTTCCAGGGAGCCACGAGCCAAGGATGAACAGGGTCGCATCAGCGGCAGATAAGGTGGGGTCTCGCGCCCTGGAGGCAGGAGTCTGGCATCGGTGTTTTTGAAACATTTATCAAAATGTTTCTACAAAAATGTAGAAAAAAGAGGCACACCTTCTCTGATCACTTAGCTTTGCCTCTGGGACTGGGAGAGAGTGGAGTAGCCAGCCCCACGCGGCCTCAGTTAGGAATGCACTCTGTCCCCTAGGCCACTGAGCAGGTGGGGCAGCTTAGACACCCTTTTGGGTCTCATGTACCTGCACAGGTTTTACAGGTGAAAGGACATCAACGCAGCGGAGAAATAATTCTCCCCCAGCGCTGACTGGCTCCCTCCTACGGCCCAGGGACAGGAGCCTGTGTCCCTAATGGGGGGGGGGCTCATACAGATGGCCCCGGTTTTCCCATACCAGAGGTTTAGAGGGTCTGAGTCATTATAATAAGGTGTCTCTGTACTTAACACCAATAATGCAGCCCCAATAATGTGGACAAACTCAGAGTGGGTCCACTTCAGTACGTGGATGAAGAGATCTGGCAATGTAGTTTGATAAAATGTGTTTTGTCCCAGCACCTTGGGAAGCTGTTAGTTTCCTTGGCATAAACACACATCTACCCACCCCCGGCCACCCCCCACTCCCAGGCACTGACCCACAAGGGTGAACACGGGGTTCCGGAAAGTCTCACACGAGCATGTTCAGCACAGCTGCCTCCACTGCCGCCCAAACCTGGCCCTGCTCCAGGCACCCATGGCCAGGGAGGCCAGCTGCGGTCCGCCCACGCGCGGAGCACATGCAGCCGCCCGCAGGGCGGGCCACCGGGACCACGTGGCCACGGGCAGCCTCGGAGTCCGCGTGCTGAGAGGGGCGAGGCACGGGGCGCCCTGAGGGTCTGGCCTGGCCGAGCTTCCCGGGCGGGGTTGGAAGCCCAGTGCCGGTGGCTTCTGTGGGGGCAGGGAGGGTGCCTGAGTCACCAGGCGCGCCTCTCCTAAGGCAGGGGACTGCACACATACCTGCGGGCAACCCGTTGGGTATCAATACTACAATTTCACTGAATTACACCCCCATTCAGAAGTTACTAAAAGTAATACAATCACATGGCACAGCTTAGGAACAGCTGAGGCAAAAGTTACTCAAATGGTTTGGCCCTTGAGGCAAGTCTGATTGAACATCCGGCCTCCGCCTCTGGGCACTGGTGGGAGGGGCGCCTGCTGCGGCTCCTGGGAGGCTCCCGGGACCGCAGCAGGTGCCACCTTCCTCGGTCGGATGGATGCTCGCTCCCGCCCCGCCGGGCTTTCTGAGGCCAGCTCTGCCGACTGGCAGGTGCGGTGCAGGAGCACGGGACCAGTGTCCCCATGTCCCCGCCCCGGGGTGGAGGGGGGCTGCTGACTCAGGGCCTCCCCTCTGGGATAGCTGTCCCACCAGAGGGCCGAACTCGGTCAACATACCCAACGCCACCCCCAAGGGCCTCGTGCAGAGCTTGGCACTTGGGGGCTGAATGGTGTCCCCTTAAAATTCATGTTGATCCCTGGCTGGTGTGGCTCAGTGAACTGAGTGTCGGCCCGTGAAGCAAAGGGTCGCTGGTTCGATGCCCAATCAGGGCACAAGCCTGGGCTGTGGGCCAGGTCCCCAGTGGGGGGTACACGAGAGACAACTACACATGGATGTTTCTCTTTCTCCCTTCCCCGCCTCTAAAAATAAATAAATAAAATCTTTTTTTAAAAAAAAGAAAGAACAAGGTGCAGGGAAGGAGAGAGGCAAAGGGCCGGATGCACCGGGAGCGCACACCAACTCCCCGAACTGCCGCTGGGATCTGACTTTTGGGGGCTGGGCTCTTCACGCAGGCGCAGAAGGGAGTGCTTTGCTTCCCCGGTTCACGCAGTGGGGCGCTTTGGGGAGAGCCCGAAGAAAAACTTTGAACTTCACAAACAACCGAAGAGCGTTCCCTTCCGTTTAAGAGAGGTTTGGCCGTCTCAGACTGGACCTCTCGTATCCAATAACGGAAGTTTGTGCTCTTTGACCAATTCCTCCCCACCCCCGCCCCCAGCCCCTGGTGACCACCTTTTACTCGCTGCTTCTGCGAGTTCAACGATTTCAGATGCCACATGTGAAGTCACACCGTATTTGTCTTTCTCCGTCTTATTTCACGTCGCACAATGCCCTCCAAGTCCTTCCACGTTGTTGCAAAGGGCAGGATGTCCTTTCGAAGGCTGAGCAATACTCCCCTGTACGTATGCGTGCACCGCCTCTTCTTCGCCCGCCCGCCCTCTGTGGGGCACCGGGGTGGCGCCCGTGTTTTAGCGCTGCCGGTTACGCTGCAGTGAACAGAGGGGCGCAGGCCTCTCCTGGAGAAAGTGATTTCACTTCCTTCCTGCGCCCGAGAGTGGGCTTTCTGGTCAAATGGTCATTCTATTCCAGTTTTTTAAAGAACCAGGTGGTTAAGCTTTAAAATGGTCCTATGGGTTGCGTCCTGAGCTAGACTGATTGGTGACCTTATAACACGAGATTGGGACACAGAGGGTGGCCACCCACGTGCCCAGGAGAGAGGCGTTGGAGGGAAAGATGCTGCGGCAACCTGCTCTGGGACCTCCAGCTCCAGGACGAGGGGCAGGGTCCAGTGTGAGCCCCGCAGGCCAGGCGGCGGTGCTTCGGCCACCGGAACAAACGAATACAACACTCAGTGGACCCTGGACAAATACGTCTTCAAGTTAGACTAAAATGCAAGAGCTGCAAACGTGTTTTTTATTGACTTTACTGGGGTGACACTGGTTAATAAGATGATATGTTTCAGGTCTACAGTACATTACTATATTATAACATATCATCCAATGTAGCGACTGCGCGCCTGCGGAGACACCCTCCCGCCCACGGACGTGACGTCATGCGTGACGCCACTCAGACCAAGGCGTCCGAGCTCGTCACCGGAAGTGCGTGTGACGGCGGAGCCGGAAGGAGCAGGCGGGAGGGAGCGGCGCGGCGGTGGGGCCGGGCGGAGAAGCCGTGGGCCGGCCCCTTCGGGCACGGAGGACCCGAGCACGGTGCGCCCGTGCGCGCCCCGCGGCTCCGTCAGAGCAGCCGCGCTGGCGTCGCGGGGTCAGACGTGAGGTCAGGCCTGCTTCAGGGACGCCCCTGGGGCGTGCCCAAGTCACTTTCCATTTCCGTGAGGATGGGGATCCTGACCAAGTAAAAGTTAGGAAAAAGGGAATCGTCCTCTAACCCAACCTCTAAGGGGACAAACTGGAAATGCAACCAGTTTCGATAGTTGTTTACCAACCACAAGGGAAAAGGCTGAGACACCCCTCCTCTCCCGCCCCCGAGGTAGCCTCCGGCCTATCACGCGCCGCCTCTCGTGCGAGTCTGGCCCTCAACCAGCCTATCCCGGGCTGCGTGCGCACGACACCGCCCTCTCCCAGCCCCGGCGTGCCCACTGGGCTCCTGGTATTTTCCCGCGCTGCTCACGAGCACCGCCCCCAACATCTCCGCCGGCCTATCCTGAGCCCTGCTGTGCACAAACCCCGCCCACGTCCTCTCCCTCGGCGTATCCCGTGCGGCACCGAGTATGAGCCCCGCCCCCGCCCTGCGCAGGGGTTGGCGCGCGTCTGAGACGTCACGAGAGCGGCGCGGCGCGGCGCGGCCACCGAGTTCCCCCCGGGCCCGCGGCGATGCCCAAGCGGGGCAGCCCCTTCGGGGATGCGGCCCCGCTGCAGCTGAAGGTGCGCGTGGGCTGGAAGGAGCTTGGCCGCGGCGTGTGCGCCGAGCGTTACTCGCAGGAGATCTTCGGTGAGTACCGGGTAGGACTTCCTCCCCGCGACGCGGGGCTTGGGCAGGCGGTCCCCAAAGGCCGCGCCCCCTGGGTCTGGGCGGCCGGGCACCAGCCGCGAGACCGGCGGTCGGGAGCAGTGAGTGGGGCGTGAGTCGCGGCCAATGCCCGTGAGAAGAGTCCCTACATCCCCTAACGGGCGGCCTCTGCGCGGTGCCTCCTCCCAGCTCGGCCCTGCGGGGACGTCGCACTTGCGCCAGAGCGGTCCCTGGCCAGGGTGGTGCTGCGGCCCCTTAGGCCGGCGAGAGGGCGGGGAGCGAGGCGTCCTGCGTGGGCCGAGGTGGCAGCTGGACCCGTCCTAACCGGAGAGTTTTGCGGAGCGCGCCCTGCCTGCCGGGCACTGCGGCTGCGCGCGAGACGCCCCCAGCCGGGAGCTCCCGGGCCTTGGGGGGCCGGCCGCGGAAGGGCGGGTCTGGGGAGGGCCCCCTGCAGGGGCGTCCGCTGCCTCGAGGAGGGCCGGCGCCGAACCTGGTCCCGCGGGGTGAGGGGAGCCAGCAGGCAGGCGGGGCAGCAGGTGCGAAGGCGGGAACCGAGGTGCTGTCGGGTCTCGTGCGGCTGGAGGTGCGGTTCGGGGTACGATGGGAGGCGCCGGGGGCCGCCTCGCCCGGCCTCCGTGCAGGTTTTCAGGTGGGCTGATGTTAGTAGCCGTCGGTTTGGGCTGGTTGGTATTCCCTCCGGGGCAGCGATGGCGGGGAGGTCGCGAGCGTAGGTGGGTGCCCGCTGGCAGTGACAAAGTTCGTGATGGAGGGGGCGGCTGTGTGATAGGGGCGCGGAGCGCCCGCCATGAGGACCCCAGTTCTCGCCTCGGGACGCCCCGCCGCGCAGCTGCTGTTTCCTCGTGCACGCAGGCAGCGTGCACAGATGCTTCCTCCGGCCTGGGGGTGACGACGAGGGGAACCACGGGGCTGGCGCCGCGCCGCAGCGTGTGCCCCCTGTAACCACGGCGCGGGCAGCTGGACTGCCGGCTGGGCGTGGTCCTCAAAGGCAGAGTGTCCCCCTCCATGCCCATGGGCGGCCAGGCCTGGGTTGCTGGCCAGGTCCCTGGTTGGGGGCTCCCGAGAGACAACCACACCTCGATATTTCTCTTCCTCTCTTTCTCCCTCCTTTCCCCTTTCTAAAAACAAATAAAATCTAAAAGAAAAGAAAGACCTAAAAGTGGAAACCCAAAGAAAGGCCTGGCTCTGGGCCCCCCACCCTGGACCACCGTCTGGGAGGGCGCGCAGGGCTCTGTGACCGCAGGCCCCTCAGGGAGGGTGGCTGGGCCTCTCGCCACGTGGGCAGGACACCCCGTGTGAACTTGCATCGCACATGTAACGAATTCCGAGCCCGAGGCCGTCACGCTGACTCCCAGGCCTTGAGACAAGCGTCGGCCTCACAGCGAAGCTCCCAGCCGGTGCCCATCGCCCGGGGCTGCTGGGGCCACGGGGGAGCCGGGTGCGCTGAGCCACCGACGGCTGTCCTGTCCGTTTCACGGGGAGCCCGTCTCTGGCATTTGCAACCCAGCTCTGGTGGGCCGGTGGGGGGGAGCTGCTGCGGGTGCCGAGCGACTGCGCCAGCTCCGGGGTGGCCGCCAAGGGCTCTAGAGAGAGCGCAGGGCCCTCACCAGCCTGGGGGTGCTGGCGGGGAGCGGCGGTAAGGGCAGGCCGCCGCCCCTCCAGAGTCCGCGAGGAAATGAGCAGCATGGCCGGAGGCGGAGCCCGGTGGGGCCGTGGGTGGGGCCAAACCCTCCGGGGGGCGGGGCAGCAGGGCCTGGGTAAGGAAGGGCCGCAGGCAGGGGGGACCCGTTCACTGGGGAGCATTGGGAGAGGCAGGACCGAGCACACGGGGCGGGGGGGCTCTGGGGACCGGTGGCCGTGCAAGGCTCCCCCGCTTCGGGGGTGCAAACGGGAGGGCTTTGTCTCCCCAGAGAAGACCAGGCAGCTCCTTTTTCGTGGGGCCCAGGCCTGCATGGACCACGTGTGGGAGGAAGGCTGCGCCATCGTCGACTTGCCAGAGTCCCCAAAGCCTGGCCCCATGGAGGCCCCTCGGGCCACCCGTGGGCAGATGCTGATTGGACCAGACGGCCGACTGACCAGGAGGGGAGCCCAGGCCTGCGAAGCCGGTGAGTGCGGCCGACAGCAGACCCTTCCCGGTGGAGTGCTGGGGACGCGGCAGGTGCCGTCCCGCCAGTGGGGGCTGGAGCTGGGCGAGCCCCGGAGGCCCGGGCCTGCGAAGGCTCTGTCCCCTGGGCGACCCGCCTGAGGGCCCCGCCCACCTTCCCTGTGGCCGCAGGGTCCTGCCTGGGTGGCCACTCCAGGTCACGTGTCAGGGCGCGTTTCAGACTGTCGCCCGACTCTGGTTACAGTCTCTGCCCAGGAGCCTCTGTGAGTCTGACACGAGCCGCATGTTGCGACGCGGGCAGGACCGCCGGGGGACGAAGGCCGAGAGGTGGCCAGGGCAGGCGGGGGGGCTGGCCCCCAGCAGCGGCGCCCAGAGCGCGGGCATTGGTGCGGGAGCCTAAGACCGCCTGGGCTCACTCCTCCCGAAACGGCTCTGCGCGCGCCTGCTTGCGGGTGGTCCCGAGGGTCCAGGGAGTCGGGTGCGGTGGGGTCAGCCTGTCCTCGCAGGAGGGGGTGGCCCCGCGGTCCCCAGCGCTGCGAGGCCCCGGCTCTGGCTGACGGGTGGCGTTTCTCCCTCACAGACGCGTCTGGGGCGGTGTCCAGAGCCTGCTTCTCGTGCGTGCGAGCTGTGGACGGGACGGCGGCGTGCGGCCAGTGTGAGCGCGCCCTCTGCGGGCGCTGCGTGCGCACCTGCCGGGGCTGCGGGGCTGCGGCCTGCGCCCTGTGCACCCTCGTGGAGTAAGTGCCGGGCCCACGGGGCGCGGGGGTGTCTGCAGGCCACGGTCAGTTCCCCGGGAGGTGCCTTTGCAGGCGGCCGCCGTATCCCTGGCGTGGCCAGCGGCCCTGGCCTAAGGACACGGCGCGCGGCTCTCCTGCCCCGGCCTCCTCGGGTGCCAGCCCTGGTGGGGATGGTGGGCACGCTGTGCTGGCCTCCGCGTCTGCAGGGGAGGCCGGGTGCTTGCTGGGCCCGCCCCTCGAGTGTGTGTCCCCGCCCAGGGCCTGTGCCCATGAGAAGACTCGCCCCCACCTGCCCGTCCGGGCTGCAGCCGCAGGCTGGGTTCCCTGCCCTGTGTTTAAACCGCCGACTTGGTCCGGGTCGCACGGTGTCCTGCCCTCACCCTAGCTGTCGGGCGCGGCCTTGCGTCCTGCGCCGGCACCTGGCTGTCCACAGACTCACAGCTCAGCTGCTGGTCAAGGCAGGAGCCGGGGGCTGGTTCACGGCTCGCCGGTAGACACAGGGCTTGCCTGAAAGCTGTTGAGCTCCCGGCTGTGACATTTCAGTGACGCCACAGGTCCAGTGGCCTTCCTTGACTGCCTGTAGCACGTTGCCACCTTCCTGGCCTTTCAGGACCCTCCTGACACACGTCTCCTGCAAACCCTTTACTTGACGAGAGCCGCCCTGGCCCTGGCGGGCTCCAGGAGGTGCCTGTGGGCCCCAGCAGGCTCTTCGGCGGTCTCGGCCCACAGACCGCAGCCTGGGTCCTCGCGCTCTGGTGGCCGGGGGTCTGGGGTGGGCGTCGGGAGCCGGTGCCTTCCCAGCCGCGCCTGGCCTGTCCCAGCCTCCGGGGCTGCCGGTGCCCTGGGGTGGCCTCCCCGCGTCCTTGCATCGGCTCCCTGCTGCGTGTGCTTCTCATCACGTTTCCTTGTCCTTTGGTCCCCTCCTGCAGGGGACCTCATCCTAACTCACGGCACCTGCTGCCAGGGGCCCTGTCCCCCCATAAGCCGACAGCGTGGGGGTAGCACCTCCACGTGTAAACGTGGGGGGACCCAACCCCTCTCCTGATGCCGGCTCCTCTCTCCTCTCCTCCCTGTGCTGACCCAGCTGCGGCGACCTTCATGAGGAAGTGCTCTGTGCTGGCTGTGCCGTGTTCGAAGCCTGAGGGCTGGAGTGGCGGCGTCACCTGGACGGCCTCCCTGGTGTCTGCGCAGAGGGCGGGGCGGGGGCCGGGGGCTTTCTTTTTGGTATTTGTGTTTCTAGCGACAGAGCAAATAAATTCTGTATATTTGGACCAGAGGACTTGCTGATGCTCAGGGTCCTGAGGGTGCGGCTTGCTGTGGCCAGCTGGGCGCTGGGGCCCACGGAGGAGTCGGGGCCTCTGGGCAGCGCCCGCTGAGCTCCATGCGAGGTGCGTGCCTGGGCACCCAACCTCCCAGACGGGCAGACTGAGTGACCCGGTGGGTCACTCGCCAGCCCACCCGGCCAGCCCTGGTAAGGAAGGGCTGGAACCCTTCGTCGGACTCCAAGGAGGGTGACCGTTGGGCCAGTGCCCCTCGGGGGGAGGGGCGGCGCCCAGGCTTTCCCTGAACTCGTGCCCACCCCCCGAGCGTCCCCGTGGACTCACACCGGGAGCAGCGTGGGCGGCGCCAGGGCTGAGGGCACTTCTGTGTCCATCTCCCCGCCACACCCCCCTCCGAGTGCAGCCTCGAGAGGGAAGGGCCCCCTTGCCCTGCAGGGCCAGCCTGCTCTGGCCTTGGTCTCTGAGGGGCCTGTCTGCTGGCAGCCCAGACTGCTCCCCCCGGGCGGCTGCAGGAGGCGACCCACCTGGGCCGGGGACCCAGGGCAAGGCCACGCTTGCGTCCTTCCCGTGCCCTTGAAGCCGCCTCTGACCATCGTACCGTCCCGAAGGCCGGCCCCCGCACGCAGGGTCCCGGAAGGAGCAGCGCACGCCCCCTGCTGGCGCCCCGGCTCTGAAGGCGCCTCCCCGTGTCTGCGCTGCGCCCGCCGCGCTCGGGGGCTGTGTGCCGCGTTTCAGGAACGGAGGGGCCACTGTTCCCTGGTTTCTGGAGCGCGCTTTTCCCGTTTACCTGCTGGAAGGCGCACCTCAGTGGCACCCAGTCCACTCGCACGGCTCTGCCCCCAGGGGCCTGTGCTCCCGCGTCGGCTCGCTGCACTGGGCGCGGTGCCGGCCCGTCAGGCAGGAGACGCCGCTGGGTGCGTGGCCACCGTTGGCGCTACCCGTCACCCATCGTGGACACGGGGCCGCGTCCTCGTCTCGGCTGCCGTCACCGAGGCCGCCATGCACGTGGGGCGGCCGACGTCTCTGGGGGCCCCGGCTCTCAGTTCTCTGGGGCGTGTGCCTGGAAACGGTGGCAGGGGCGCAGGTGGTGGTTCTGTGGACACAGCCTGCATGTCCCCCACGCGGGCGCACAGGGTCCCGTCCGAGGCACGTGCCTATCACCCGAGACCCGAGTTGGACCTCCAGAGCCTCGCGTGTGCGTGGCTGTGCCTGCGGCTCACGGGGGTGCGTGGCCTTGTCGCTGCTGGGACAGAGCTCAGCCTGTGGGGACTGAGGCGGGGAGGGACTGCCCAGGGGACCAGGCCTGCGTCTGATGTGTCCCCCCACCCCAGGGACGCCACAGGGTTGGGAGGCAAGTGCTAGGCCCTCGGGACGTCGGGGCTGTGTGGCTACACCTGCGGGAGCGCCCACGTGGGAGGGGGGAGCCGGGTCACGCTGGGGCGGGGCGGCCAGCTCCTCCCCTCGCCACCAGGTGGCGCCCGCGGCGCGTCCTGCAACGTCGCTCTGCTGTGCGGGGTGGGGGGCGGGGCGCTGCTGCTGGGATGGGACGCCCTCAGCCCGGCATGACCTTGGCCAGCGCTGGGTCCCGTGGGCTCCTTCCTGGTGGTCAGGTGACCCCTGGGCATGGGGCGGGGTGAAGCCACTGGGGGCAGGGACAGCCTGGACGCCACCCTCCAGCAAGTCCTGCGGGAACGCGGGGTCGGGGCGTCTCCCCTCAGCAGCTGTCCTGGGGCCTCAGCGCCGGGAGAACGGGGTGCTTCCCACAAGCAAACCAGCCACAAAGTTGAAAAGCCATTTTTATTGAGGAATTTGGAGGGAAAGTCTCATTATAATAGTAAAAATACTAAAGTTGAATGTAAAAAAACACCATGGTGCAGCGCAGTGTCTGGCCGGGGGGACGCAGTGACGGCCCCTCAGGGGCGTCGGGCGGGGCGGCGGGCGAGTGAAGCTTCTGTGGGGGACGGGTGCTACACCGGGGCGGGGCGTCCCGGAGGGGGAAGGGGCGGGGGGCTGGCTGCTGCCAGGTGCGGCCCCCCACTGCACGTGAACGGCGTGATGCGCAGCAGCAGGTTCGCCTGCCGGGCCTCAGCCCCGCGCCAGGCCCGCCGCGGGGCCTCTGTCCCCAGGCGGCACCCTGGGGCCGCTGCGTGCCGCCCCGAGGGGCCACGGCCGGGTGGCCTCTGGGGCCCCCGGGGGGGGCGGGGCAGGTGACAGCCTGGGGCAGCTGGCGAGAGGGACGGGGGCCACAGGAGTCCCCGAGATTTCTCGCGCGAGTCTCGCCGTCTGGAGGCCGAGGCCACACCTGGGGAACTGGATGAAATAAATTAAGAGAAACCGCAGGGCAGCCTTCCTCCCAGCGGCCGGGCGCCCGGCCCACGGCGCGGAGGCCTTCCCGCTGGTGCCGGAGGGGCGGCGCGGCTCCTCCTCACGTGTCCAGAAAGAAAAACATTCAACGCAGGTCGTCCGCGCGGCTCCCTCCCGGCCCACGGAGCCCGCGCAGCGTCCGCCGGCACGCCCGGCGGGCCCTCCTCAGGCCGTGCCGCTGGCCGAGTAGGAGAACTGGGGGAAGTGGGGCCTCCGCTCGCTGTCCACACACTCCATGCTGTCGTCTGCGGGCGGGGGGGCGGGGGACATGGTTCAGACACGGGGCCAGGGGGCCAGGGGAACCGAGGCAGCCCCTGGAGACTCAGTGCCCCCGCCCCCAGGGCTGTGGGCAGGGCAGCGTGGGCCCCACTGTGTGGAGGGAGGTGGCCCTCACCTTGGTCCGGCGGCGTGATGGTGATCATCTGGGCGGTGAACTCCTCATCAAAGTACCTGGTGTCTGTCTCGGAGGTGACCTGGGGCTTGAAGGGCGGGCTGAGCTGTGGGCGGCGGGGGCGGGAGGTCACAGGCTGGCTCTGCGCCCGCTGCCCGCCCCCTGCCCCCCAGGATGCCGAGCTGAGGCCTCAGCCAAGGGCAGGCTGAGCCCTGCTCACAGCGGCCCCTGCAGGTGGCAGGAGGCAGTGCGGCGCCGCTCTGCGGGGACCCCTGTCCCCTGCCGCCACACACACCCCCGCTCCCCGGCAGAGGGGACGGGGCTGCTGGAATGTCCCCAGCTCTCTGACTTTCCTCTCTGACTTCCTTACAAGCTGGAAGGGGGATGAGGAGGGCACCTTGGAGCAGAGTGCAGAGTGGGCTTCCCCTCCCGGCGCCCCTCACAGCCCCGCGGCTGGGGGCTTCCAGTTTGCTCATTCGCGGTACAGGGACAGTCCTGCCCCGCGGCCCCCTGGCCCGCCTGTGCTGGTGAGCGGCAGCCCCATGCGGTGGGCCCGCGGGGCGGTCGTGCCTCCACAGGCCCAGGGAGCAGAGGCCAGTGCCAGCCGCGTGGAGAGCAGGGCTCAGGGGACACACCCCTGCCCGGGGAGCAGCTGGCCAGTGCTGGTGCCCGCCCGTGCCACCAGCTCGGGGCACGGGGGGACCTGCTCTGCCCAAGCGCCGCCCTGACACGTCCCCTAAGCCGCACGGGGCCCCTGGGGCCTCACTGCAGCTCCCCCCGCCCCTGCCGCTGGAGGTGAGGAAGGAGCCAGGGCTCCCATCCCCACGGGCTGTGGGGCTTTGCCCTTCAGGCCCCGCCTGTGCGGCGGGGGCAGGGACGTGTGCTGGGTGCGGGGCCTCTCCAGCCTCACGCACGGCTCAAGGACCACCGTGTGGCCTGGCTGAGTCTGGCTGCAGAGAGGACGCACCATGACCCAGGACACAGGGGCAACCGATGGGACGTGGGCACGGGAAGACGGTGCTACGGGCCGGCGCCCCCAAAGCTCCCCAGACCCGGGCCAGGGCGGAGGCTGCCCCTCGTGAGCTGGCAGGGTCTTTGTTCGAGGCCGGGCCGGGGGCAGAGCCAGGAGGCAGAAGGCCTTGGGGCCGGAGCTGGGCAGGGTGCGCGTGCTGTGCCACAGGCAGGACAGGGCCCTGGCAGCCAAGTGGGGCCTGCAGGGGAGGCCGGGCCAGAGACGGGATGGCGCCTGCCGCCAGCACGGCAGCCTGGGCCAGCGGTGGGAGGGGCGCGTGCAGGAGCAGCTGCCGGCTCCCGGGCGGTCCCCCCGGAGCTGGACGGGCAGGCGCTGCCCCGTTCCCGCAGCCCGGAGGGCAGGCCTGGGCTCCCCCGGCCGCTGAGGGATTGAGGTCAGACAGTGGGAGGAACTGGGGCGGCAGGGCAGGGCCCCCGCCCTGCAGCACCGGGGGAGGCACCCACGGCGCCCAAACCCGACAGGGCGCCGCTGGCAGAGCCTGTACACAGCTCCTCCCAGGGCGGGGGGAGGGTGTGGGCCTGTGCTGTGGGGGAGGGGCGGGGCGCACCTTCTTCTCATACACGTCCTGCCACACGATGCTGGCGAAGAAGCGGTGCTGCATGATCTCCTTGGCGTCCTCCGAGCCCCCTCCGAGCCTGCAGGGGACACAGGCCGCGGTGACAGTGCCGCCACCGCCCACTCAGGGCTCCAGTCACCCTCCAGGGCTCTCTGCGGGGGGGCGGGGGGGCGGCGGGGCGCGCGGCTCTCTGGCTGAGCCCCGGCAGGTACGGGGGGCCGGGCGCGGGGGCTGCGGGCGCCGGGCAGTCTCCCGAGAGGGGCCCTGGACAGAGCCGTCCCACAGGGTGGCCGGGGAGGCCGCCGGGCGCTCACCTCTGCTTGGGGTCCTTCTTGAGCAGCCCGGACAGCAGGGCCTTGGCCTCAGGGCTGAGCGTGCGCGGGAAGCGGATCTCCTCCATGAGGATGAGCTCGAAGAGCTTCTCGTGGTCCTGGTTGTAGAAGGGCAGCCGGCCGCACATCATCTCATACATGACCACGCCCAGCCCCCACCAGTCCACGGCGCGGCCGTAGTCGTTGTCCTCCAGCACCTCGGGGGCCAGGTACTCGGGCGTCCCGCAGAAGGTCTTCATGGTGGCCCCGTCCTTGATGCCCTCCTTGCACAGCCCGAAGTCGGTGATCTTGATGTGCCCGTCCTTGTCCAGCATCAGGTTCTCCAGCTGCGGGGGGGCCCAGTCAGCGCCCGCCCCTGCGGCCCGGCCCCGCCCCACCGCCCACGGCCGGCCCACCTTGAGGTCGCGGTAGACGACGTTCTTCTCCGAGTGCAGGTAGTCCAGGGCCGACACGATCTCGGCGCCGTAGAAGCGGGCGCGGTCCTCAGGGAACACCCGCTCCCGTGACAGGTGGAAGAAGAGCTGGGGGGGGTGGGGGTCTGAGCCCGCGCACGTGGCGCCCGAGGCCCGGGCCAGCGGGGCGGAGCCGTGGGCCTCGCAGCGGGACGGGCCGGGGTACGCCCTCCCCCTCCCCCGGCCGCCCTACCTCGCCGCCGTTGGCGTACTCCATGACGAAGCAGAGGCGGTCGTGGGTCTGGAAGGAGTACTTCAGGGCCTGCGAAGGACACAGGCTGAGGCGCGGCCCCTCCGGCCGGCGGGGCACCCCGGCGTCTCCCTGCCCCACGGGCCGGGCTCAGGGGCGGGGGGCGGTCTCAGGGAGCCGGCCTCTCCGAGGCTGCCAAGGTCCATGAACCCGGAGGTGCCCCGACAAGGGGAGACGCCCCTCCAGGTGCAGCTGCCTCGCTCTAACGGGAGGGGCCTGTGCCTGGGGCGCCCGGGCGGGAAGCGGGACCCTGAGGATGGCTGGGCGGGGGGCGGCGGAGGCGCCTGGGCCTTCCCAGAGCTGCTGGCTCGACAAACCGACATCTACGTGGCTCCTTGCTCCCAAAGGCGAAGGGCTCCCCACACAGGCCGCCTACGCTGAGCACCCCCAGCCCTGGGGAGGCAGGGCAAAGGGAAGCCCCCGGCCACCTCCCCCTTTTACCCGCGGCTCTGCGTCAGCCTCTCAGAGGCCTGCCCGCCACTGCCCGGGTGCCAAAGCCCAGGAGGCCCCAGGCCCGGGAGCACGGAAGCCTGTCCCGAGACGCAGGCTGGGTCTGGCCGGCCCCGCGCCCGTCGCCCACGCACTCGCGGCCACAGGGGGCGGCCGGGGCCACTCACCGTCAGGAAAGGGTGCCGGGAGTTCTGCAGGACGCGGTTCTCCGTGAGCGTGTGCGCCACCTCGTCCTTGGCCACGATGACCTCCTTCTTGAGGATCTTCATGGCGTAGTAGCGGCCGGTGGCCTTCTCCTTCACTAGGATGACCTTCCCGAAGGTGCCCTTGCCCAGCAGCTTCAGGTACTCAAACTCGTTCATGGTCTGCAGGGCGGGGGCCAGGCCTCGGGCTCAGGGCTCGCGGGAGGACGCGGGGCTCTGCGCCCCAACGCGGGGCGCTGCGGTCGGGGGCAGGGGGAGGGACAGCACCCGGGCCTCCTGGAACCCAGCGTCCCAGCCTCGCTTCCGACCCAGGGCTCGGACGGTCCGACCGTGCTGCCCGCGGGGGCAGCCAGGGAGGGGCGCGGGGGCGGGGGCAGCCCGAAGGGACCCGCTGACCGCCAGGCGCCTGCGGGGGGGCTCACCACGCGGTGCTTGGGCTTGGCCAGGGACACCTCCATCTCCTCAGCCCCCGAGTTGTCGCTGGGCGAGCCCGACCGGAAATCCATCATCTCCTCCTCCTGCCGCTTGAGCCCGTCGGCCACCGTCTGGATGGCCGTGGTCCACTCCTCCCTGCGGGCGCCCAGTGAGGTCCCAGCCCGGCCCGAGGCCGCCCCCGCACCGCCCGGCTCAGAGGCCCCCGGGGGGCCCGAGGAGGCTGCCCCTCCTGAGACCTGGGCCCCAACGGGGCTGCGGCCTCCCCGCCAGGGGCCCGGGTGCGCCCGCCGCCTACCGCTCCTCGGGCGTCTCCACGTGGAAGGTGCGCTCGATGACCGTGGTCCACTGCAGGCACCGGATGATGAAGGTGTTGGGCCGCGGCCGCTCCGTCTTCATCAGCTGGCATTCTGGGGGCGGGGCCGGCAGGTGAGCACCCTGGGCGCACGCCCCAGACCCACCCCCAGGTCCTGGGAAGCCCTATGCCTTCCCCTCTCCAGGCCTCAGGGTCCCTCCTTGCAAATGGGGCTGGGACCCCTGCCCCCCGCGGACGCTGCTCTGGAGCTGCCCCAGCAGGTGTCGGGCACAGCCCCGCCCCCCACCTTGCTGCCGCACTCCCCGAGCCCCTGCTGCACGGCCCCCGACCGGCCCGGGGGCTGGGGGGGGCGTCCCGGGAAGGCGGGCTGCCCACCGCCGCCCTGCTGCCCCTCTCCTGGCGGGCAGCCCCAGGGTGGCGGCTGCCTGTCCCGAGGCAGCTGGAGGGCGCGGCGCGGCCCACCCCACTGGGCCCAGGGAGCTCGCGCAGCGGGAGGGCGGGCACGCCTGCGACGCGCCCACACCTGGGGCACCGGCACCCCTGCTGCCCGGGACCGGGGGACGCCTCCGACCCGAGGGGCACGTGTGAGTGTGGGGGCCACTGACGGCTCCAGGAGGGATTCTGGCCCAGCCTGTGAGGTGAGGGGGTGGGGCCAGCGCAGGGGCCTCTGACATCCCGGCACCTGGGTCCGGGCAGCAGGAGGGGCCCTCGGGCTCAGCCGGCTCGGGGCTCGGGGCTCGGGGCTGGCTGCCCATGCAGGGCCGCAGGCCGCCGACGCCGCACACCCGCCCCCTCCCGCTGCTGGAGACCAGCGGGAGCTCCCGGGACCCAGCACCCCTCCCAGGGCCTGGCGGCTCGACCCCCATCCCTGAACCGTCCCTAGAAAAGCCCCTCAGCCGGCGCTCCAGCCCCACCCCCACGGCCTAGGCGGCCCCTCGGGTTGGCGTCCGCCTCCAGGTCCTCCAGAGGACCCCTCCCCGCCGGCCTGCGGCCTGGGGAGCACTCCCGTGGGGCCCCTTCCCCCAGCAGGGCGGCCCCACCAGCAGGGGGCATCTGCCTCCTGGGTCCCCCTCACTTGGGCCCCAATCTAATCACATCAGCCCTGAGACGTGCTGGGCAGCAGGTGCCCCCGGGGGGAACGGCGGCGGAGCCCGAGCCCCCGAGGCGCATGCAGGGCAGCCCAGGTGCCAGGACGGCCTCGCCTCACACACCTGCAGGCGGGGGCCCGGGGTCCTTCCGTCCGCCGGGGCCCGGCCCGCTGAGATCCCAGGCCAGAACTGGGCGTCCGGCGAGGCCGGGCGGCGGGAAGGGCAGAGCTGGCCGGGGGTCGTACCTGGGGTGCAGCCAGGACCCCCGCAGTGGGCGCTGCCCCCCGAGATGGACGTGGGGCTCAGGCAACGCGCCCCCGCTCACCCAGGCGGCGGCCACGTGGCCGGCCGTGCCAGGAGGCCCACCCAGCTCAGCTCCCCCACCGCCTCCCAGCCCGTGAGCAGGGCCGCCCCCGCCCCCGCCCTGAGGCAGAACAAGGCCACAGCTCAGGAAAAGGGCCTGTCTGCCCAGCAGCGTCCCCAGGGCCAGCCGTGCCCCTCCCCCCAGCCGAGGACATCAGCTGACGAAACAACACTGAGGTGGGGGGGGCAGGGCCTCCGACAACCTCCCCGGGGGCGACAGGAGATCCCGTGAGCCCCCCCGGGCGCTCACCCTGCCTGCCCACCCGAGGGCCGCGCAAGACGGGCCACGCTGGCGCCCCGGGCCCGGCTGGCTGCCCCCGCTGGACTCTGCCCCGCTAGGCCAGGCCTTCAGCCTCCGGAGCGGGAGCGGCCAGGGCGGTCACCGGCCTTGGGCCTCGGCGCACGGCCCCTGCCGGCAGGAGCTGCACCGCTCTCTGGGCGCTCGGTCCCCGCGGGGCCTTGGGGCCAGCCCTGCCCAGCCTGGCTCCTGGCAGCTGCCGGCCCCAGACAGAGGCCCAGGGAGCCAGCAGCTTGGGGGCCGGGCCCCGCACCCGGGTTCGCACACAGGGCGCCGCGGGCTCACTCACGTGCCACAGAGAAGTTGTTGAGGGGCGACTCCCGCTGCTCCACGTCCTGCGGCCGCTCCTTGTAGCCGATGAAGGTGCCGTCGTTCTTGAGCAGGAAGTAGCGCGGCCGCCAGGTCTTGATGTACTCACCTGAGGACACGGGGGCGTGAGGGGCAGCCGCGCTGGGCCCGCTCCCCTCCTCCCGCGGGCTGGACCCACCCAGAACCCCCAGACGTGCAAGCCGTGCTCTGGGGGCCGTCGGGGGGAAGGGCTTGAGCGACGGGAGGCCCGTCCCATCCAGAGGGCCTTCCTGGAGGAAGCAGCGCCGAGGCAGTGTGTCCCAGCAGCAGCCCAGGCACTGGCTTCAGCCCCTGCCGGGGGCCTCAGCACCAGGGGCCCTCCCTGGGTCCGGCCATTTGTCAGATGAAGGAGACACTGTGGAAACCACAGCTGACCACCAGCCGGGAGGGTGGACCCGGCATCCAGCAGCGAGGGGGGCAGCACCACGTCCCGTGGGACTTGCAGGCCTGTCAGCAGCACCGGGGACGGCGCTCGCTGCCCCGGCGCCCGCAGCACGACCGGCAGGCCCTGGGGCCCTGGACCCCGCCTCCCACACGCGGGTCACCCAGGTACACGGCGGAGTTTCCCCAAGTTTTGCGACATCAGCCGCACGCAGCACAGGCGTGCACGCAGAAGCAAGCAGATGTCCTCGGCGATGTTCGAGCGACTGTCATTTTTCATACTGACACCCAGAAAAAATGTTTCATTTACATTTTGCCGAGCAAGGAGTTTGAACAACAGTGGAAAACTTACTAATGAGGCAGCCGCTTCCTCAGAGGAGCCGGCGGGCGGGGAGGGGGTTGGGGTCCCCGAGCTCTGGGCCAAGCTGAGCCCGGGACAAGAGCAAACATCCCTCCAGAACCACCCGCCACGCGGCCCAGTCCTCCCCCCGCCAGCCCTACGGCCTGGACCTTCCCGCCCAGCGTCTGTGCGTGTGACCCCCGGGGCCCCTCGCTCTCCGTGACCCTGGGCGGCTGGGGGGGTCCCCGGGAGCCCACCCACAGGCCACGCCCCTGGCTCCAGGGGGTCGCCCGTCCCACCCCAACAGCACTCGGGGGGTCTCCACCTGGCGCAGCCCTCCAAGCCCCTCGGGGCCGCGCCGGGGGTCTGGCCCCACACCCCGGCCCACGCGGTGCCGCCAGCCTCCCAGGCCCCCTCCTTGCCCGTCGGAGCCGGGGTGGGAGCGAGCAGCGCAGGCTGGGGGGTGCCGCCGCCCGAGCCGCGCGGCCGACCGTGCTCGCTCCCACCCGCCTGCGTGCCGGTCTGGAGCTGTCGGCCCTGATGGAGTGCCTCCCATCCCGCCAGCTGCCGCTCCCCGGGACGCTGACTGAGCGGGGAGAGCGGCGGGCGCCGCAGCCGAGCGGCCCGGGCATCCATCTTGATGCGCCAACTGTGCGGCCTCCCCCCCGCCCCGCGCGGCCCCCAGCGCCGCGCCCGCGCGCGCCGACGCAACTGCGGCAGTGCCCGCGCGGGGCGCCGGGCCCCCGGGGACCTGACCCGGCCACGCGGCCCTGCCCCCGCCCTCACCCCACAGGCCGCTCCAGTGCTGGGAAAGTTCCAGAACCCAGCGCCGGGATGGGGCCCGAGGGAGCAACTCCAGAAGAAAGGGGCTGGGGGGCCTGGGGGACGGGCCTGGGCCTGCTGGGCCCCCCCCCCACCCGGCACTGACACAGGCCACCCCCCCCCCCCGGCGGTGTCCCGGGACCCCAGCCCTGCCCACTCCCGGGGCTGAAGTGGCCACCCTGTGCCCGGCCGCCGCTGTCCGCTCCACCACAGGATGCCCGGGGCCCCAGGGAGGGTCAGGCACGCACACGCGCACACACGCGTGTGGCAGTGCCGGCCGTGGGAGGCGTGGAGCCACCTCGGGCAGATGCAGGCGCCCAGCAAATGGAAGACCCAAGCCGCTCCCTACCCGGGGCCCCCGCCGCCCCCCAGGCCCCGCACCTGCCCACACCCGGGGGCTCTCTTGGGCCCAGGGCCCACCTCCTGGCGCCCCAGCACTCAGCCCGGGGCCCGGGAAGGGCCCCCTCCCCCTACAAACACTCCAGCCCGGGGCCCGGCACAGCCCGGGACCACCCCGCACCGGCTGCCAGGAAGCGGAGCCACAGCCGCCTGGGGCTGAGGCGCACAGGTCCCGGGGCTCCGGGCAACTCTGCCTGAGGGCGGACGCGCAGGATGGCAGCAGACCGGCCCCCCCGGGCCCCTCAGGAGCCCCGCCCCAGGCTGAGCTAAGGACAGGCAGCTCGGCCCCACCGAGGCCTCGTCCGGCTGAGCCCCACGGGGGAACCCGAACCCCCAGGTGGCCGCGGCCTGGGCGGGCGGGGGGGCTCACAGCGGAGCCAGGCCTTGTCTGGACAAGGGCTGCCCGCCTTCTCCTACCACCCAGGCCCTCAGCGCCGAGCCGCCTCGTGGTCCCCATGCGGTTCCCTGGGCCCCTCCCATGGCCCTGAGCCTCTCGGGAGCCGGCCAGTCCCGCAGGGCCTCCTGACGGGCCACAGAGCCCCCGCTCGGGGCCAAGGCAGCGTGCGCCCTGGCCTGACGCCACGGGTCAGGCACAGAGGCCGCGGGCGGGGGCTGCATGCGGCACGGCCCGAGGGGCAGCCAGGACGCCCTGGCACGCGGGCCCGGCCACGGCCACCCCGGCGCCACGCCCCGCGCTCCACGGACCCCTCTGCAGCCCCCAGTTTCTCAGGGAAACTGCTGGATAAACACTTTGCCGCAGCGGTGGCAGGCGCTGGCAGGGCGCCAGGCGGTGCCGAGCTGTTCCTCACAGCAAGGCGAGCCCCAGCAGGCCCGGGGAGCGCCGCCAGCTGACAGCGGCGACCGCACGGTCCCCCGCCGCCGCCGCCGCCATCGCGCTGCCAGCTGCCGGGCGCCCATTTGCCTTCCCCCGCGCAGCACGCGTGCGGCCCTGCTGACAGCAGCCCCCCCCCCCCGCTGCCCACCAGGCAGGGCGCACCGGGGGCCCCTCTGCTTGTGCCCAGGCGGGTCCCGGGTCCCCCCACCAGCAGGGCACCAGGCTGGGGCGGCGAGGGGGGGCCGCCCCGCCCCCCGCCCCCCGGTCTGTCAGGGCGCGGGCAGCCAGCAAGGACGAGGGAGGACGGAGAACAGGAGAGGCGGCAACTCCGGGCCCAGCGGCGGCTGCGACGCGCCTGGGGCCCCGCTCCTGCCGCCCCCCCGAAGCCCCCGCCCGGGCGCCCCGGGGACCGGGGGGATGCTGAGCCCCCTCCACCCCCGGCAGATGCGCCTCTGGGAAGGGCAGGGGCGCCCGGCAGGCCCCCCAGGGCTCTGGCTGCCCGGTGCACCTGCAGCCAGGACAGGGACCTGTGCGCGTCCCCAGGCGCACCGGCCACACCCACAGCCGCTCCCTGCGAGCCCCCCGGGGAGCTGGAGCAGCACCCCTGCATCTACCTAAGTGGCCCTGACCCTCAACACCCCCGGGAGGAGGCGCACCCTGCGCGGCGGGGGCCGCCCAGGGGGGACGCAAGTCCAGCAAAGGCCGCGCCGCCACCTCGCAACCCCAGGGGCGCCCCCCCCAGGCCGAGCCCCCCAGCGCCCAGCCCTGTTGTCGCCCCCCCGCCCGCCCCCGCCCACAAACCCAGGCTGCCGCGCCCAGCCCCTCGCAGCCAAGGCTCCTGGGCGGGTCTCTGCCTGGGGCCCCTCCGGCGCCCCCGACCCCCATGGCGCATGGGGCTCCGCCGAGGCCTGTGGGCCGGACACCGGGGCGGGGGAGCGGGGGTGCGATGGTGAGCGAGGGCCTGGGTCCCAGGCCGCCCGGCCGTCCCACCCACAGCCCGCACCCGCCCTGCGCTCCTAAGCCGTAGGCCTTTTACTCCTCGCGTTCACGTTCACAGGCTGCCACCGAAGGCGGGAGGGACGGGCGCAAGGGAGGGGTCGGGGGCCGGCCTGTCCCTCCCCAGCCCTGCAGCCCCACGCCTGCTGCCAGCCCACCAGGGGTGAGGTCGGGGCTGGGGTGCGCGGCGGAGGCGGCGGCAGCATGTGCCCCCCGGGGGGCGGCCCTGGGAGCAGAGACAGCGGCAGCTCTAGGGACAGGCGGGCCCTCGCGAGGGAGCTGGCCCCGCGCCCGGCCGGGTGTGCCTGGCCCAGGGGACGCGCGGGACAGGCCAGCTCGCTGCCTGGCCCTTCTAGGAACTGGCCCCGCGGCCCCTGAGAGTGGGCGGCGGCGGGGTGTCAGGGTGGGGAGGGGGCTGCGCCCCGCCCCCTGGCCCCCTCTCTGTCCGGGCCTGCGTGTCCCTGCTGGGCACACGCACTCGGCGGCCGAGGCTGTCCCCGGGCCTTCCCCGTGTGCCCCCATCGCGTCCGGCCCTGAGCGGGGCCGCTGTGCCGAGCGTGCCCGGCGCCCAGGAAGGAGGCAGGGGTGCCACCCTCTACGCGGGCCCCCAGGGCTGGGGCGGGCTGTGGCCCCTCACCCCTGCCCCCGCGAGAGGCCCCAGCTTCCTCTTTTGTTGTTTGTTTTGAAGGCACAACTCAACACGCTCACAAAACAGGAAACTCAGCCCCACAGAGGCTGCCCGGCCTTGGCCACAGCCACGGCCACACAGCACGACCGGCCGGCCGGGCGCCCGCCCTCCCAGGTTTGTCCGCCCGCCAGGCAGCCTGTGCGGACCTGCTGCTCGGGGCGGCTCTGCGCCCCACGGACGGGGCATCGCCGGGGCTGCCCAGGGCCCAAGGGGACTGGGGGGACCCGAGCCTCAGCCCCGGGCGGGGCGCCCTCTGCCCGGCAGCCCAGCCCGGGAAGCCGGGGCCCTGCTGCACCCTCGCAGGGGCGGTCCCTGGGGCTGAGGCGCCGTCCGCGCACGAAGTGGGTTACACGGGCCCCGGGTTCCCAGTGTGTCCTTGGCAAACCGCCGTCCCTCCCCCACGGGACCATGTCACACACATGGGACCCCTATCCCCCATCTCAGGGCCACGGGGGGGGGCACAGGGGACAGCACTCCGCGGCGAGAGGCAGGACCGGCCACGACGGAGGGCCGGCAGCGGAGGGGCCCCGGGAGCCCACTGCCCCCAGGACCCCCCTCGGGGCCCGCGCGGCAGGGCAGCCAGGGCTCCTCTGTGGCCTGGGGCCGGGGAGGGTCTGTGCCGGCCACGGGGTCCGGGCGGGCCAGGCCGTGGGCCCGCTGAGCTCCGGGCACACAGCTCCCCCTCCCCCCAGCGCAGCTCCTGGGGGTGAAGGTAAACTGAGGCGCAGAGGCCCAGCAGACCACACAGGGACCCCTTCGAGGCAGGGACCCAGAGACAGGGACCCACACCCACAGGTAGGCTCTCCGCGACCCCACGCCCCACCCCTGGCCTGCCGGGTGCCTGCGGCCCCCCTCATGCGGTGTCCTCGCGTCTGGCTCCCCTCCTGCCCCTTCCAGGCCCAGCTGGTCCGGCCAGCCTGGCCGTGGGCTGGGGACACCCCACAGGCTCTGGGTATGGGGCCCCTGTGGGCGGGGCGGGCAGCCCGGGACCCCCAAACAGGCTGGGCCTCGGCCCGGTCTCACAGTCCGAAGGCACGGCTGGAGGCCACGGGCCAAGTTCAGCCAGACCCCCTCCTGAGAGTCGACCTTCAGAGCTCCGGGGAGGGCACGGAATAGACCGAATCTTTGAAAATGCAAGTTCTTGAGCCACGTCCGGCCACCGGACCCCTGCACCAAGGGCCCGGGGCGTCCACCGTCGCTCAGGGCGTCCAGCTCTTGCTCGGCCAGACTGCCCGGCACAGGGCCACGCCCTCGGGGCTCGGAGGCCCCCACCACAGGGCCACCTGCCGCGCCGGCCTCGCGGCGGCCTGAGCCCTCAGCACTTTCCCGGGGACGAGCTCCCCGCCGCACACACAGGGACACGGGGACCCAGAACTCGACCTCTGGCCCCCCCATGGCCTAGAGTGCACAGTGCTGGCCCCCCGGAACGTGGTCCGGCCCACCGCCCCCAGGGGCGGGAGGAGCCAGGCCCAGGGTCATGCCCAGCAGGGGACCAGCCTCCCGCCCCTCGGCGGTGCCCAGGGCAGCCGCTCGCCAGGTGACCGGCCCGGGGTGGGCGGGGGCGGGACAGGAGGAGGCCCTCGCCCGCGGGCCGGCGGGCACGGAGTCAGGCCCCACACACCACACTCTCGGCTCCAGGCCTCCCCTGCCCCACCCCCACCGCGCAGACAGGGTCCCGAGGCCGGACCCCGACGCACGTGCCCTTGAAGAGGGACACGTGGCAGGGCCCTCGAATCGGGACGCCCCTTGGGCCGACCCCGACCCCCAGCCCCTCCCGAAGGCACACGCCCTGCCTGGCGGCCGAACTCCCCCAGGCCTCGGGGGGCACGCCCGCCAGAGCTGGCTGGCCAGCGGCGCCCCGGTGACCGGGGCAGCAGCCCAGGCACGTCCGGGGCCAGCTCCCGAGCTGACGTTCAGCCCGCGCACGTTTGCCGAGGTCCAGGCACCGGTCGCAGGCTCCAGGTGGGAGAGTGTTTCTGGGCCTCTCGACGCAGAGGGGAGGGACGGGGCCGGGGTACGGGGTGCAGGGTGCGGGCCCCGACCCCGAGAGAGCAGGACCTGCGGGGGCTGCCGCACAGGAAGCGGGGCTCCTGGGGCGCCCCGAGGGGCAGCCGTGCGGGAGGGGCCCCGGGCCGCGGGCCCCTGCAGCCTCCTGGCCTTGCCCCAGGGCCCGGCGGGCTGCCCGCGGGCTGAGCCCCCCGGCCGGCCACACCCTCGACGCCCGCTCCCAACCCGGCCGCGGCGGCCCCCCCGCCCCCCTGCACCCTGTGCACCCCACGGAACCCGGGCCCACGACTCCCACCTTCACCGCCCACCGGCCACCCCTGGGGTCCCCTGGGGCGGGGGCGCCTTCCGCCCACCCCCACAGGGGCCAGTGGGCTGCTGGCATGGCCACCGACCCTGAGGGAGGGGGCAGGCCCGGGAGGCAGGAAGTGAGGGGCCTGGCTGCTCCACCCCTGTCCTGGGGCAGCAGGGAGGGGCTCCCTCAGGGCAGGTGGATGGGGGGCAGGGGCCGGGCACGGCCAAACCCCCAGCCCTGCCCTGCAGTGCTCCCCCGGCCCAAGCCCAGCAGCCCCGCCCGCCCTCAGGAGCCCTCGGGCAGTGCCCGGGCCACCAGCGAGCCAGGCCTTGGCCTGGCCCCAGCGTCCCTTCTGCCTTCCAGGAAAGCGGGCAGGGAGGCGGCCGCGGATGCCCGGCCAGGCAGCCACCCCATCGCCGCAGGGCAGGCCTCGGGCCCCCCCTGCCCACCGCGCCACCCCGCACGCCCCGGGGAGACCCTGCACGGCCCTGCACCCCCCGGCGGCGTGGGCTCCCGGACACCCAGGCCCCCTCCCAGGGGAGAGCCCGCAGGCCAGAGCCGCCCGCCGCCCCGCACACTGACCTCGCTTGTGCAGCCAGCCCTCCTTGACGATCGCCACGTCGGCCATGGTGCCCGGACGGCGCGCTCGCTGCGCTCGCTCCTCTCGCCGGAGGGCCTCCCTGGGCCCAGCAGCGCCCACAGCCTCTGGGAGCAGCAAAGGGAAGCGTGAGCCTGTGACCAGCCGGGGAGCCCGGAGGCCCGACCTGCCCCACCCGGGGTCTTGACCACCGCCCACCATCCCACGCGGCACCTGGCGGGGCCTCGCGCGGCAGAAACCTCACGGGAGCCTGCTCCCCGCCACGGACCCTCGGCCCTCACAGCGCCCGGTGCCCCTCGCCGCCTCACACCCACGCCCCCCGCCTCTGTACAAGTCACTGCCATCCCCAAAAGGCCCTCCCAGCACGGCCCGGCCACCCCGACCGGCCGCCCCAGCAAGCACCCCCTCCTCCAGGAAGCCCCCACCCACCGGGCCCCAGGCACTCGGCCTCCGCAGCCGCTGGTGAGGGTGCCTGTCCCCCGGCCCTTGGTGCTCCCACCCACGGGCTGGGGTCCCCGGGCAGGGCAGCCCCCCCCCACCCCAGGCTGGGAAAGGGGGGAAATTCAGACACAGGGGCGGCAGGGCCAGAGGCGCGGTGGCGGGCACCACGGGAGCCCCCCGGGCGATGGGAACCGCCCCGGACACCCCAGCCCCCCCCGAACCACAGCCCTCCGCCAGCCTGACTCTTGCCCATTCATTCAGCCGCTGTGGGCCAGGCACCTCTGGCTTTGCCAGGCTCGGCGCCGGGGACAAAGAGAGGTTCAGACGGCCCTGTCTGTGAGCGGCACCCGGTCCAGGGTGGTTACAGGCCCGTAATTACAGCGTCCAGGAGGCGACAGACGGGGGGCCGGGCAGACGCAGAACCGGCGCCGCCTGCACTGGGCCCGGCCGCCCTGCCCTGAGCAGACACTTCGGCCATTCATCAGGCCGGCCTCCCCCGCTCCCCTGCTGGGTGGACTCCTAGGCATCCCTCAGAACCCAGGCCGGGCTTCCCAGTCCCTGCCGGCCCCCCAGACAGGCGCCCAGAGGGCTGGCCCTGGAGGGCTACTCCCTGGGGCCCTGGCAATGCCTGGAATGGAGCCCGACGTGGGTCCCGCTCCAGCCGCCCGGCCCTCCCGCGGCACCGCACCGGGGCTGGGCACCGGGGAGGCTGCTCCGCTCCGACAGCCCGAGGCTACACATGGGGGGTGGTCAGGCCAGGACAGCGCCGATGCGCCCGGCAGCGCCGGGGCACAGCGTGGGGACAGGGCTCCGAGCCCCACGTGCTGGGCACAGGGGTTCTGGTGACACTTGCGTGGGCGTGGCCTCGGGGCAGTGGGCTGGCCTCAGAGACCTCCGGCCGTGCCCCTGCCCCCACCGGCCGGCCGCTGACAGAGTCAGACAGCTGTCCGGGCCCGTGTGTGAAGACGCGTCCGTACACACACGGGGGGGGGCTGTGCATAGGCACGGCCGCCCCACGCCCGCCCGCCGCGCCGCCCGGGACTGCGGGACCGCGGGACCGCGGGGCTGTTTCCTGCAGTCCCCGGCCTGAGGGCCTCCACTGCCTGCTATTGTTACAAAGTCACAACTGTTAAAAACACAGTCCGCCTCCGAAAAGGCCCGCGTGCCCCCCGGCATGCCGGCCTGCAGACAGTCCCCTCGGCTGCGGGGCAGGGACCAAGCCCCCGCCCTTCACTCGGGCCAGGGCCGCAGAGGGTCAGGGCAGCCTGGGGTCAAGCAGGGCCCCGGAGAGGAGAAAGGGGCCCTCCGGCCGCAGAGCACAGGCCTGTGCTCCAGCTCGCTCCGCCCCGCCCCCGATCCGGGCGCCTCTGCACGCTGGGCAGCGCCTCCAGAGCCCACCGAACTCAGGAAGCCGTTCCGGGACCCGGGAGGGCGAGTCCCCTTTCGTGGGCTCCCCGGGGCACCACAAACAACTTCTTGTCTGTGGCGAGATGAGGTCTCCTTCCAAGGGCCCACCCACAAACTTGAACGAGGGCTGGGGCCGGCCTCCTCCGAAGGCCCCTGAGCGCCTCCGGGACCAGGGGCAGGTCTGGCCCGGCGCCCAGAGAGCGCCCGCGGGGCCCCCGCCGCAGGGGCGCCCCCCGCCCCGGCCTGGCCCGCCCTGGCCGCACCCCTCTGCCCCAGCCCGGGCCTCGCCGGCCGGCGGGCCACTTCCCCAAGGTCAAGAGGAAGGCCGGGGCCGGCCCGCACCCCCGGCCCGCGCGGCCCCGCTCGCCCTCCCCGCCCAGGCCAAGCTCGGCCACTTCCTGCTCCCGCGCCTCCATTCCGGCAGCGCGGCCCGCGCCCGGCCCCGGCGGCCGGGAACAAAGCGGCGGCGCGGGGAGGAAATCCGGGCCCCGGCGGCGGCGGCAGGCGGGCGGGACTCACCGGGCGCCGCGTCCGGGCGAGCGCGGGCCTAGCCGGGCCGCGGCCTCCGGCGCCCGCCGCTCCGCATCCCCGCGGGCCGGGCCGGGGGCGGGCTGGGCGGCGCGGACCAGCGGCGGGCGCTGTCGGGCGGGCCTCGCGCCGGGCCCCGGTGCTCGTGCGCGGCCGCGCTCGCGTCCTCCGGTGCCTGCTGCGCGCGCGCTGGGCCCGCCGCTGCTCCGTCCCGCCGCCGCCGGCCCGCCCCGTCCCCGCCCCGCGCGCCCCGCCCGGCCGCCCGCCCACATCCGCCTCCGCCGCCCGCGCCCCCTCCCGGGCCAGGAGGGCGGGGGCCGGGGTGCGGGGGCCGCCGACCGGCGCGCGCCGCCGCCGGGACCGGCCCCGGCCACGCCCTCCCTGGCCTCAGTTTCCCTGTTTGTCCGCCAAGCAGTGCTTCTCGGCCCCGCTCGGCGCGACCAGAACGGATCCGGGCTCTGCTTCCCAGGGTTGGGGGTGGGGTGCGGCAGGCGGCAGGGTAGCGTGACACCAGAATGCGCCCTAAGGGGAAGCCCCCGCTGGGGGCCCGGGGCACAGCGGCCGCGACTGTCCTGGAAGTCCCAGCCCGAGGACCCTGTGCCGCCGCGCAGCGGCAGAGGCGGTCGGTTGGGGTGGGTCTGCGGGGCCGGCGGCCGCATTGCGGACCTGACACGGGAGGCGGCGGAGGCCCCGGTCCTTGTGCCGAAGGTCGGGCTCTGGAGCGACGGGGGTCCGAGCCCTACGTGCGGGGGCGGGGTGGGGGGGACGCTTTCCAGAGCTTCCCCTCCCCCAGGAGGAAGATGCCGACACGTGGCGGCTACAGAAGTGGATGGGGACTCCTTCGCAGGATGACAGACAGAGCAGAGGGCGCGGGGACCCATGCAGGGCACCCACTGGGCTGCTGAGCAGACGCAGCCGCCAGCAGCAGGGGCTGGGTGGGTGTCAGGCTCAGGACGAAGGGCTGTGACAGCTGAGGCCGCTGAGGGCCCGCCTGCGTCTCCATGGGCCCTGGGCACCCCCAGTCCACTGGGAGCAGCTGAGGGACCCGAGGCAGAGGGTCCCTAACCCCTCCTCTCTCGCATTCCCTGGCGCTGCAGGCGCGTCCCACCTCCGACCCCGGCCCTGCCCCCCCACTCAGAGCCTCCGGTTTCTCCTATGGCAGCCCCTCCCCCCAGCCCAGCGGCTTCTGAGTTGATAGTAACCCTTTTGTAAAAGGAAGACGCAGTGAATGATCTTCCTGGAGTTGGGATGTACGAGGGGTGGGCACTTTTGTTCTTCAAGGGCCAGAGTTCAGCCTCAGGGGAAGCCACTCCGTCTGGGCCAGAGGCAGGTGCGGCCCGGCCGGCCCCCCGACAGCGTCCGCGGCGGAACCTGGGGCGCAGGCCCAACCCCTGCTGGGAAGGGTTCTCCCGGCCCCGGGCGCTCGCCCCCGGGGTGGGGTGCCCCGGCCCGGTCTCTCGCCGTCACCCCTCTGGCCACGCCCCGCCCTGAGCAGCTGTCGCGGGCTGACTGTGCGCCCTCAGGCGGCACCCGCCTCCTGGGCCAAGGACAGGCCCGACCAGACACCTGACCTGAGGGCCATCCCCCAAACGCCCGGTGTCTGTTCACGGCTCACCCCCCCTCCCGCCTTCCATGGGGACCCCTGGGGCCCCTCTGGGCCCGCCCCACCCACCCACCGCTCTCCCAGGAGGGGCTTCCACATCCACCCCTCACCCTGGCTCTGCAGCGCTTTGGAGAAGGCGGGAGGGGGCGAGGGGGGGCAGGCAGAGGGGAGAGGATGCAGCGGGATGGAAGCGAGTGGCCAGGGTCCAGGAGGGCGCCCTCTCGTGGACGATGTAGGGACTTGCCAGGCCTCTCTCGGGCCTGCTGACGGTTTGAGGAGCGGCACCTTGGCCAGGAGGCTGCACTGAGGTGGCCCAAGCCTCCTGGGCCACTGGTTGCTGGCCCAGCTCCAGGAGGCCCCCTTCCTGCGGGCGCCCAGCGGGTACCAAGGACCCCTGTGCGCCCCAGCCCCTCCGTGGGCAGCACCCCGGGTGAGCTTCGCCACAGCCAGGCGCCCTGGGGCAGGACCAGCCCCCCTCGGTGGGCCTCCTGGAGGGAAAGCAGGGCCTGTCCCCAAAGACGCCCCTCCCACCGGCAGGCAGCGCGCGAGGAGCAGCCCAGCCTGTGCCCGGCCGGCCGGCCGCCGCAGCCGCTGGGGAGCCCTGTGGCCAGATGTTCCCGGCAAGAACGCCTGCGCCCTCCGGGAGTCCAGGCACCTCCATCCCTGTCACCGTGTGCAGCTGCCGGCCGTCGGCAGGACTCGCGGCCGGCGCCCCGGGCCGCCTGGTCCCGGCAGCAGCTGCAGGGCGGGACCCCAGGGCAGCTCCCAGGCCAGATGGTCGCCCGGCCCACGGCACCCCGGCAAGCGCTGTCCGCTTGCCGTGCCTCCCGCCGTCCTAGCGCCCGGGGCCTCCTCGGGCGGCTGGGGGACCCGAGAGCACTGGGGTGCCCGGCTCCGGGGGCCGCCGTGGAGCTGTCTGGGACGGCCCCTCCTGGGGCCAGGAGCACGGAACTCAGACCGCATGGCTCCCGAGGCTCAGAAGGCCTGTCCCACGGCCACGCTCGGCCACCGCTCCCCTCTCCCAGGCCAGCCCCGGGCTCTTGCTGGCGGCAGCCTAGCCGGCACGGCCCCTCTCTTTGTCCCCCAACCTCTGTCCAGGTGCCCAAGGAGCGCACTGTCCCTCCAGCCAGGCAGGGCTCTCTGCCCGCCCCAGGGCCCTGCTCCAGCTCCAGCTGGGGCGCACGCAGGCCTGGCCGGCCCCCTCGGGCCCCGGGGTCACGCCATGGTGGGGGCCCCATGGCGCAGTGGGATTGCCACCAGCCCACATTCTCTCAAGAGACACTTCGCGAAGCCCCACCTGGTGCCGGGAGCTGCATCACAGAATGGTCACCCCACACAGACAGGGCTCTGGGGCAGGCTGAGGTCCCAGGACGGGACGAGGGCCTGGGGGCGTCAGGGAAGACCACTCTCGGGTGCCCACTGTTCCAGGCGGGTTTGGGGGGCCCAGGGAGAGCCCTCTGGGAGGGGCCCGCGCAGCCGGGGAAAGGCACAGGAGTGCGTGGAGGTTCAGGGTGAGGGTCGCGACCAAGGTCAGGAGGGGCAGGGCTCCGAGAAGGCCAGACCCCGGGGACCGTACCATCCGGGACCCCTCCGAGGGACTAGCATTCGGCATCCCGTGCAGGGGGCTGGGGCGGGGGGTGGAGGCAGGAAGGCTGGCCCTGCTCGGGGAGGGCCCCCACCAGCGTGTGGGGTGCGGGAGCCGGAGCGGCCGTTGCCGGATTTGGGGAATGAGAATGAGGGACGTCTAGGCCGATCTGCGTTTCAGGCAGGGACTCGGTTTCCAGTGTAAGGATGTGCTCTGTCTCCTAGACCCTGACTGGGGCGGTCCTGGGCTCCGGGGGATCCTCGGGCCGCCAACCCCCAGCGTGTGACCCGGGCAGCTGCCCCCCCTGCCCACCCGACGCCTCTGCCCCCGAGGGCTCCCTGCCCCTCCTGCCGGCTGGGGTCCCAACCTCTGCAACCCAGCCCCTCCCCAACCCCAGGTCAAGGCCCGCCCCCCCACCCCAGCCCTGGCCGGGGCTCCCTCTCCCAGCCCACTCTCCATCCAGGAGCTGCCGGCGGAGGGAGCGCGGGTAGGGGTTCAGAGGAAAACCAGGGTTCGAACCAGGTCCAGAGACGCGCCCGCAGCACGGCCGCGGGCTCCTTGCCGGACACCCCCCGCCCTAACAGGCAAACTGTTGGGGGCACCGTCCGCAGAGCCCGGAGGCCACCCCCCCAGGTGGCCCCATAGGTCAGGCCCGGGGAAAACGCTCCACCGCCCCCAGCCCCGTGTTCCTCTCTGGCTGCTCCTTCCCGCGGCAGGACCGGGGGTCCCCTCCTGCGGTCAGCGACCTGGTGCCCAGGTCACGGCTGGGCCGCCCCACGTGCCTCGTCCTCCCTGAACACTTCCCCACGGGCTCCGGGCGCCGCGGGCGTCCCCCACGCTGCGGCGTCTGCTGGACCTGCCGCGACCCCGAGCCTCAGACACACAACTCCGCCCGAGGACGCTGAGAGGGGGTCCGCGGCGCGCGTGGGAGTCCTGCCCGGCTCTGGACTCCAGGTCGAGAGCCCACGGGAGCGTGTGCGAGGGGGTCCCAGATAAATTACATGTAAACAGCAGCTTTCCGCAAAAAGGGGGCGTCTCCTTTTCCAAATTTATGATCCCCCCAACAGACCGCGCCCCCTCCTCCACCCCAGTGCCGGCCCCCCGCGAGGTCCCGACTGCGCCCCCGGGGGACCGCGGCAGCGCGAGCCGGGCGACGAGCCTGTCCCCGGAAGGGGTCCCTTAGCAGACGGGCGCTGCGGGAGCCCCACGGGGGGGAACGCCAAGGCGGAGGAGGCAAGTATCGCGAGAGAGCCCCCTCCCGCGCATCGCCCCGCACCCCCTCCCAGCCCGGCGCCCCAGCTGGTGGCACGCGGGGCCCGGCCGGGCGGGGCGGACGAGGAAGGGGTAACGAGGGTGACCTCAGCGGTTCCGCCGCTCCGGGAAGTCGGCTCGGCCCGCCCCCTCCAGCCCCCGCCCCGAGTTTCGCTCTCTCCGGGGCGGGGCGAGAGGCAGGCGGTGCCGGGCCGGCCAAGTTGGAGGGCGCCCCGCCCAGCGCCCCGCCGTCCTCGCGCCCTCCCCGCCCGCCGGGGCGCGCTGCCCGCAGCTCCGCGCGTCGGGGCCGCACCGGGGAGGGCGCGCGGCGCGGGCGGCGGCCGGAGCGGAGCCGGGGCGGCGGAGGTGAGCGTGCGGGGCGGGGACCGGTCTCCGCCCGCCCCGCCCGCCCGCCTGCTCCCCGCGGCCGCGCTGCCATAAATGGGTCCCGCGGCGGCGGCGGTGGCATCTGGCGGGCCGGGCGGCAGCTGGAGGCGCGGGCCGGGGGCGGCGATTCGGGCGTCGCGGGACGCGGCGCGCGGGCGGGCGGCCGGGCGGCCGGGCGGGCGCCGCCAAGTGAAGTTCGGGGGCCGCGGGACCGGGAGGGGAGCCCCGGGCGGGGCGCGCCCAGGTCCGCGCGGCTCGTGGCCCCGCCGCCCGGGACCCGGGACCCGCCCCCGCGGCGCGGCGTCTTCTGTTTACTTTCGATCGAGTTTTTCCTGCTCGGGGCAGGTGCCCAGGGCGGCTCCGGGCGGGCGGGGACGCGCGGGCCCGCGCCCCTCTGCCCGCACTGCCGGCCCCGGGAAGGGCGCGCCGGGCGGCCGGGGCGGCCGCGGGCGCGCTCACGGGCGTCCGTTTGTGCCCAGGTGATGACGGCGGCGGCGGCGGCGGCGGCATGGAGTTCCCGGGGCACGGCGGGCGGCTGCTGGGCCGCCTGAGGCAGCAGCGCGAGCTCGGCTTCCTCTGCGACTGCACCGTGCTGGTGGGCGACGCGCGCTTCCCGGCCCACCGCGCCGTGCTGGCCGCGTGCAGCGTCTACTTCCATCTCTTCTACAGGGACCGGCCCGCGGGCAGCCGCGACGCGGTGCGGCTCAACGGCGACATCGTCACGGCGCCCGCGTTCGGCCGCCTGCTGGACTTCATGTACGAGGGCCGCCTGGACCTGCGCGGCCTCCCCGTGGAGGACGTGCTGGCCGCCGCCAGCTACCTGCACATGTTCGACATCGTCAAGGTCTGCAAGGGTCGGCTCCGGGGCGAGGACCGCGCGCTGCCTCCGGAGGCGCCCGCGCCGGTCTCAGAGCCGCTGGGCCGGCCCCCACGCCCCCTGCCTGCCTGGACCCACCCCGAGCTCTGCCCCACCGCCCGGAAGGCCCGGCTGCCCGCGGCGGGGGTCGAGGCCTCTCTCCCTCCGGGCGCGCGGGCGCCTCCGCCCTACCAGGCCCCAGGACAGCCGGACGGGGCTCTGGACCTGTCGCTGAAGCCGGAGCGGAGGAGGGAGCCAGTCCACACGCCCTGCGCCCCCCAGACACCGCCCTGCGCTTGGGTGCAGCCAGGGGCGCGGCCGCTGGTGAAGGACGAGCGGGACTCCCTGTCGGAACAGGACAGCGCGGGCCCCCTGCGCCCCCGCAGTCCCCTGCGGCCGCCCTGCGCCCCCGCCGCCCGCCGCCCGCCGCCTGGCGTGGAGCCGCTGCCGGTCAGCGGGCTGGGCGCAGAGCCGGGCGCCCACGAGGACGAGCGGGCGCCCGGCGGCCGCCGCCTCTGCGCGTGCCCGCTGTGCAGCGAGCTGTTCCCCAGCGCCCACGTGTTGCAGCTGCACCTCAGCGCCCACTTCCGCGAGCGGGACGGCGCCCGCGCCCGGCTCTCGCCCGACGGCGCCGCGCCCACCTGCCCGCTCTGCGGGAAGACCTTCTCCTGCGCGTACACGCTGAAGCGGCACGAGCGCACTCACTCGGGCGAGAAGCCCTACACGTGCGCGCAGTGCGGCAAGAGCTTCCAGTATTCGCACAACCTGAGCCGCCACGCCGTGGTGCACACCCGCGAGAAGCCGCACGCCTGCCGCTGGTGCGAGCGCCGCTTCACGCAGTCCGGGGACCTCTACCGCCACGTCCGCAAGTTCCACGGCGGCCTGGTGTGACGCGCGCGCCCGGTCCGGTGGCGCCGCGGGGGCGGCCTGAGAGGGACCCCGCACTGGCCGGGTGCAGGTCCCTGAGGCTGGGCCCGCCCGGCAGAAAGCACCCCGCTGCCCTCCACCCCTGCCTCCTGCCCTGACTGTGATGCTGTCTTCCTCTCCAGCCGGGTCTGGGGCGTCTCAAGGGCCCCAACCTTGGCTCACCCACCTCGCCATGGGGCAGCTCGCCTGTCCTACCTCCGGGGCTCCCCCGACCCCCTCACGGGCGAGCACAGGGGCCCCCGGTGAGCCTCGCCCCACTCGGTGAAGGGTGCGGGTCACAGGAGGCGTGCGTGTGGGACACCGGGGGGCACGGGGCTGGGCTCGGCAGGGGCCGTGGGGCACCCTGTGGTTGCAGCGTGCGCAGGCCCCAAGGGGACGTCTGGGCAGCGGGAGCGGAGCTGCCCCGAAGCTGAGTGGCCGTGGAGCCCCAGGCGCGGCGGCGGCAGGCGGCCTGCGGTCCCGCCTGCTCTGTGAGGCAGTCAGAGGAAGTCGCAATTTGGAATCGACCGTCTGGATGCAGAGCCTCCCAAGGCTGCCAGATGTCTGCGCCGGGCCGCGGGCGATGGGCCGGGCCGCCCCTGCGTGTCCCCAGGGTGGCCGCAGCTGGGCCTCGGTGGGCCTGGCCCTGCAGGTCGCCGGTCCACCCCGGGGCTGCCCGTCCTTTCCAGAGCACAGGGCCAGGCCGAGGCTGCCCTCAGCCCGGGGCAGTGCTTGGAGGGGCTCCCTCCCCGCAGCGGGCCCTGCCGCCGCGGCGCAGGGCGGAGCAGGGGCGGGCCTGGGGCAGGACCACCGCCCCCACCTTCACGCCCAGCCCTGGGAGGCTGAAGCTGCTGGCCTGCGGTGGGCGCTGGGCCTGCGTCTTCGCTGGGCCGCGGTGCCCTGCTCGCCTGCTCACTGGGGGAAGCCTGCCGCGCGAGCCTCGGGGGGCGGCGGGGGCTCTCGCGGGGGCGGAGCCGCTTGGACTCCTGGTTCCCCAGACCCCAGGGGCCGTTTCTGCTGTGCCTGGACGTGGTGTGAGGACAGCGTCCGGCCGAGTTTAAGTTATTTTCCCCTCTCCTGACAACACTTGATACCGTATTTATTTGTCTTCCTGGCGTGGAGTGAAAGGACCTTCCCAGCAGGTGGGCGGCGGCCCCGCCTCCCCCCACCGAGGGCCAGTGGGGCGACGCCCGGCACAGCGTGCCCCCGACCAGGTTTCCTGTGTGCGCGTGTGTGCACGCACGTGCGTGTGCAAGCCCGTCTGCGTCCAGCGAACGGGCGGCCGCGACGTGGCCGGGCCTGGTTTTCCCCAGGGGCTTCCGTGGGGGAAAAACGGACTTTTCTGGGGCGGGAAGTCGGCCCTGAGTTACCAACACTGGACCCATTGTCTTGTGCAAGCGGCTGCTGTGAAGCTAATGTGAAGTGCACGGTTTTCATTTGGTGACCGGTACAGGCCAGGTGAAATACACGTATTTAAGATGCTGACCATGTGGGAGCGTGTGCGGCACAGGCGGCGCAGTGGGTGGGGCCTCCCGCCTCTGCATGGCACGGCCCGGGGGCAGGGGCTTCGGCTCCGTCAGGTCAGGCCGACGGGCGGGCGGGAGGTCTCGTCTGCACACCCCCCCCCCCCGCGCCTCCCTCGTCTCCGTGGCGATGGCGGTTAACGAAGCCCCCCAGGTGGAGACGCCCGGTGCCTTCCAGGGTTGGGAGCGCGCGCGAGGCGTGTGGGCACCACCAGGTGGGACGGGGGGTGGTTCCCGGGTGCCACTGCCTGCCGTGCCCCGTGGGGCAGGGTGCTGGGCCGGGCTGCGGGTGGCTGGCACGCCCTCTCCCCCCAGGTTGCCCCCGCCCCGCCCCGAGTTGGGGGAGGGGCGCCCCAGGGAGGCAGGTTTGTGGTGCGGGCAGGAGGCTGACTGGGGCCAGGCTCGGGGGCTGGGGGCCCTTGCCCTGAGGGGCCGCGGACCTTGCTGAGAAGAAGCCACCTCCCAGAAGCCACCCTGACCCCCGGCCCCTGTCTGCCCTCCCCCACAGCACCCCCTGCCCCCCCACCTCGCTCGGCCCCTGGCTCCCTCAGGGTGGGACCGGGCCCCCCAAGGCCTGGGCTGGTGCGAGAGCTGGGGAGGCGTGGTGCCCGCCCACTCAGGCCTGCCTGGTCTCGGGGAGGCCTGAGCAGGGGCAGATGGGCAGGCGGACTCCTGTGTGTGCCAAGCCCGGGCCTGGCCCGTGTCCTCCAGCTGGGGCAGAGCCCACGGGCAGGGCTGGGGGGGCCCTGCTCGCCCGCGGGCCCTCAGAGGTCGTCGGGCCGAGCCGAGCTGGCGCTGAACGGCTGCCGGTTCTTGGGCCGACCTTCGAGGCCTCCCCAGTGCTGACCCCAGAGGCGGCCCTTGCTTCTGGAGGTCGTGCCCAGCACCTCCCTCGCTGGCCCGCCTGCCGCTGTGGAGCCGCTGTCCTGCGGGGAGGCCCTGTCACGCTCCCAGTTGGGCCCATGACTCAGCCCGGCCTTCTCAGAACTGGGAGGTGGCTGTCGTCGAGCCAACCGGACGGGGGAGGGGGCCGCGAGAGGCCCCTCGAGGGCAGGGGGCTTCCCGGGCCCAGCCCTCCCCAGCTGTGACTGCCGGGTCCTGTTCCTGGGCAGAGCGACCCTCTGAGCGTCCCCCTGGGCACCGTCCACACGACCCCTTGGTTGCGTGGTAAACTGAGGCAGGAAGGGCCTGGCTCCAGCCCTCGGTCCCAAAGCCAGCGGTGGCAGACACAGGACTCCCTTCCCTGGGCCTCAGGGATCCTGGCTGCTGCCCGGCTGAGCTGGCATGGCCACGGCCCTGTCACGCCCTCCGCGCACGGGGGCTCCGCGGGGCAGCCCCGCAGACCCCACACGGAGCACGGGGGAGGGGGGCGAGGGGGGCCCAGAGCCGCCCCCGCACCGTGGGCTCCGGGCAGACGACAGAGGGGTCAGGGCAGGCTGAGGCCACTGCCGAGGGCACAGGCAGGCGGGTGAGGGGCCAGGGTGAGCGGGGTGCCGTGTGGGGCGGTGACAGTGGAGAAGCTTGGGGACAGCTGGATGGAGGGCCGGGCGGCTCCAGACGGCGGGGCCGGCAGCAGCAGGGAGGGCTGCCCGCGGGGCTGGCCGGGGACAGAGCCCACCCAGGCTGACGGAAGCAGGACCCAGCTCTCCGCGCCGGACCGCGCCCTGGCCTTCGGCGGACACCTCTGCTCCTGGCTCAGGCCCTGGCCCGACTCCACCATGTTGCGGGGGAGGGGGGGGGCGGTCCAAGTTCCCACCCAGCGAACACTTGCCCGGCCACGGCAGGCGTCCACTGTTCAGCTGGACTGTGACTCTGCCGTCGCCCCGGAGAGAGCACCGGGCAAGCGCTCTGCCCCGCAGGACGGCCCTGCCCCCGGTGCCCCGCGTCACTGGCCAGTCGCACCGCCAGGGGGTCACCTGCCCTTCTGGCCGGGTAACGGGTGACACGCGGCCCTCCTCGGGTTCGATCAGTTTGCTGGGGCAGCTCCCCGGGCTCGGGAACGGCGTCCGGCCCGGTGACAGGCAGTTGCGGAAGGACGTCGGCGAGGGCCCGCCGGGCGAGGAGCTGTGCAAGGCTCGGGGCCCCACACCCGCTCCGGGCACCGCGCCCCCAATCGCCACGTGGCCCGCGGCCCGAAGCTCTCCAAACCTGCTCCTTCTGGTTTTCTTTTAGAGATTTTATTTTTATTTATTTTTAGAGAGACGGGGTGGGAGGGAGAAAGAGAGGGAGAGGAACAACCCTGTGCGGCTGCCTCTCGCGGGCCCCTCGGCCGAGGGCAACCCCTCGGTCGGCGGACGGCACCCGCCCCACTGACCCGCACCAGCCGGGGCTCCTCTTGGTCTCCGTGGAGACCTCGTTCCAGGGCACGGCCGACGAACTCACTGGCAGTGGGTGGAACCCCCCGCCCCTCCCTCCCTCGCGGTGGGGGGAGAGGACACAAGTCCCAGCCCTGTAATCACAGGACCGGCCACCAGCCCGTCCTGCCGTGACCTAGGTCTTTCCAGGTCACCTACCTCACATACGGAAGGCCCCTTTGTCACGCCCTTCACAGGAAATGCCAAGGGGAGCGGGATGAAGACCAAGTGTGTGTTTCTTGCTGGCAATCACCATGCCCCCCATTTGTCCGTCCCGTGGCCGTGTGACTTTGCTGAGCGGCCGTAACACGGGGCCCTGGCCCGGCCTGAGGGGCTCCCGCTGGACTCCGTCCCCGCCCCGGGGCCGGGGGTCCCAGGTCAGGTGCCGCAGGGCTGGGTCCTCCGAGGCGTCGCTCCTGGGCCGGCGAACGGCCCCTCCCCTGGTCCTCCCGTGGCTGTGCCTCTGTGTCCTGGTCTCCTCTTAGAAGGTCACAGACCCAATCAGGGGGACTGTCTTTAAACTTGGTGGCCTCCGTAAAGACCATTCTCAGAGGAGCCCCGCTCGGAGGTGCTGGAGGTTAGGGCCCCCGCAGCGACCTGGGGGCGCCTGGTGTTCCGGGGAAACCGGGGCGGGTGGCCGCGCCCCCAGCCGGGCTCTGCCCGCACCGGGGCGGCCTGCGGTTTTCCCGTCAGGAAGGTCTGTTGATGTTTCCGTTTTCGCCCTCTGTGCTGGGCAACCCACGGACAGTCGGGCCCCGCTCCCGGCTGCCAGGCCGCGTGGCTCTCAGAGCCGCCGCCCAGGGACCGCCTCCCTCAGCAGCCCCCATGCCCGGCCCGCTCGGCCCAGGCCCTCCTCGCCCGCTGCCCCCCAGGCCGGTGTGCCGGCTGTGGCGTGGACACGCCCCCACGGGCCCTCCCCAGCTGTCCCTGCTCCGGTGCCTCCCCTGCAGAGGGTCACTAGGCTTTTCTCCCATCTGCCCCCACCAACCAGGGCGAGGAGGGGAGGCGGAGACCCCTCTCCCCAGCCCCCGGGTGAAGTCCCAGCTCCCCGAGGCTCCTGCTGGCCCCGCTCTTCCCCCTCGTCCTCAGAGGCTCCAGCTCAGGTTCC